AACCCTAACCCTAACCCTAACCCTAACCCTAACCCTAACCCTAACCCTAACCCTAACCCTAACCCTAACCCTAACCCTAACCCTAACCCTAACCCTAACCCTAACCCTAACCCTAACCCTAACCCTAACCCTAACCCTAACCCTAACCCTAACCCTAACCCTAACCCTAAGAGTTTTTAGTATTCTATATATCTCGATTAATAATCCTTATATCCTATACTATATACGGAAGTCTATCTATCCCTTCGATAATAACTAAATTAAGACTAGATAACCTTAAGTATATAGGATATACGGAGAAGTACGAAGCTTATTACGTACTATAGGGAAGTATATTAAGATAAGGCGCGCGTTATATTAACTATAATCCCTAAAATATCTATACTCTATTAAACTTATAGTATAATAACTATATCTCGAAAGGCTATAGACTTAATAGTATTAGAGAGTACTCGTAGAGACGAGTTTAACGATATAATTATTGTCCCGGAAATCGACTGGGAATACTAAATATTCTACGGTGACTTTTTTAAATATTCTACGGTCGAGGTAGGCCTTTAAGCCCCGGTCTAATTAGACCTTTTAAACATTTCACCGTGTAATGTTTACGGCATTACTGATAGGGCTCCTTAATATTAATAGGATAGTTCTAAGTAAAGAGAATATTAACTACGCGCGGCCGAGACTCGAGACTCGACTCTACGATAAGACTATCAATATCTTAGAGTATATAGAAAGAGTAAAATATTTCTTTTTAGCTTAGATCTCTAGCTAGACTTTACTATATCTAGGATCTTCGAGACTCTAAATAGTATCGCTTCTATAGTAGAGTTATCTATAAGTTCGCTCTAGTATTCTCTTTACTATCTTCGTCTTTAGGCCTTAGATTAGGTCTAGATATCGATAACGTAATATAAGAAGTCTTAGTAGGATATATTTCCGTAGTAATATTAAAGTAAAATTCCGATATAATATAGGCCTTATTAACTATACTCTTCTAGTATTACTAGAATTATCTTATTATCCGTTCCTATATTATATCCTTAGTTAGGACTTTTAAGTTTTTAGCTTATAATAGAATAGTAATATTACGAAATTGACAAAATTCTAGCTATTAGATAACTACTAAGATCGACCGCTAGATCTAAAGTAGAGATTCGAGGAGGAAGAAATATATTAGCTATTATTCTCGCGATACTAGGTTAATTCGCTAGCTACGAAGCTCTATTTCGCGAATAGTAGCGTTATAGCGATTATAATTAAAACTAGATAGGTAGTATTAGATATAAAAGCTACTATAATATTCGTAAATAATAGGAAGTAAGAGATTATCTATCTAGATTCGGAAATCCTTATCGCGAAGTTAACTAGACTATTACTTTTCTCGATAAAGGCGGGGAAAGAGGAAGTAGAGGGAGATATCTTCGAAGCTAACGAGGCGACCGAAAGTATAATATAAGATCTAGTTAACTAGGCGATAGACCTAGTATAGGCGACTAGCTTCGTTAAAATAGAATACTTTACGCGAATCGAGATAGAGATTAGACTAGAAGTCGGAGATAGGTATTTAAGTAAGATATTATTAAATATCTTCTTTAGTTATAGCGAGGTTACTTAGGAAGTCTATAATACTATCTACGTCAAAATAAATACTAATAGAGATAGACGTTAATTTATTAATTTTAAGATATACGTAGAGTAGTTTATATATAGAATTATCCGAAGTAAGACTAGTAAATATCTCTCGCCGTGTCTCCGCGTTAACTTTATTAGCTAGGTTACCTTAACGCGTTATAATACGTACTATTTCTAGAATATCGGGATATTAATCGGCTATTAAGTTAAGATACTAGACTAGACTAATATAATACTCGAATTATTTATTATACTTCTCCTTTCTTTAAGTATAGTAATTAGAGTAGTAGTCTCGAAACTTAATAAGATTATCTACTAATTAATAGATAATATATTTAACTTAATCTTAATATTCTATATTATTAATATTATTACTCTTAACCGGCCTTTTATATTATTACTTAACCCTAACTATCTTATCTTCTAGAATAGTATTACTTAAAATATTATAGCTAAATACTAAATCGAATCTAGTAGATAATAGCGATATACTTATTAGAGAGACGTTATTATTTTACGGATCTAGATCTTCTAGTATTAGTAGAGAAGTAGGAGATAGAAGATAGTATAAGAGATCTAGTTTATTATATCTAGTATTATTATAGTTATTATCTAATAATAAACTCTACGCCGTAGAAAAAGTAGTAATAGATAGTAGATTATTCGAAGTATATCGGTTTAAAAGTGAAGGCGGGAGAGATACTATTATAGAGAGAATCTCTCTATTATAAAATTAATTATACTATTATATATATCTTTCTAAGACCTTATATTATCGCTTTACTTATTTTCGCCGTATATCGACTTAGGCTTTTTCTTCCTTACTTATATATTTAGATAGTCTATCTCTTTTCCTAGTTATACTATTAGATATAGTAATAAATTAAGAGATCGACGCTATTAAAATCCGGATCTTTTACCTATATTAATTTTTTATTATAAACTAAAGTTACGTAGTTATATAGAGAGAAAGGTAGCGAAAGAGTATACTATTCTAAATACGGTTTAACTTTAGCCGCGAAATCTCAAAAAGGATAAGTTAACCGCGAAATAATCGCGAAAATCTAAACTAGAAGATATACCGCGGCCTTCCTAATCTCGTCGTCGAGACGCCTAACTTCGGCGGTATCTAGTATTACTAAGGGGAGAGAGATCGTAATAAAAGTAAGGATACTACTAGTATATATATCGGAGAATTATTTAGTGAAATTTAAGCAGTGGATTCTTCCATTTCACGTCTAGTCGGGATATTCCTAAGGGCTATCTCCAAGGGGCTCGAAAACGCGAAAATAATGAGCTAGGGACCGAGCACGGAAGATGGTCTGTAGAAGGCAGGGCTCGTAGCCCTATCGCTACCGGCCTTTTCGAATGCGGTGAGTATTTGAGATATGGTCACGCGTATGAGGTTCATTAACATTGAGCCAGTCGTCGTAGCGTAGATATCGAACCCCTCTTAGCACAGTTCAATAGGTAATGGCCTTGGCTGCTCCCGAGCCGAAGGATAGGATAGCTGATAGCTGCGAGGGCTTACAACTGAAGACTTTGGAGATATTGGCATGTGCCCTTTGGCTTATCACCGGTAAAGCAATAGGGCTGGCCTCGTAAATGTCTCCGAAAGGTAGATTTTCCGGAAATCCCGTTTGGCAGTCAAAATTGAGATCCATAGTGGTAAGGCTAATTTCACGGCAACCGTCAAGCATGACTCGGGGTACCATGTGTCATATAAAGTTCGGAGTTACACCGTGGTTCTCGAGGCATCAAGGCACAATATGAGGTGGTATTATTTAAGCTTGGAAAAGTTCTACAAGGTGGTGACCAGTAAAACTCAATACTCATAGCGAAATCAAGACATCTCGATATTTTGATATATACAGCCCATCATTATGTCTACAGATCAAGAAGCGACTATCTGCTCATTGGCCACGACCTTTTTCGACGCCATCGAGGCTAGAGATATCGACACCATGAGAAACTCGTTCACCCCTGAAGCTGAGATTTGGCATAACACGGACGAGCTAATCGTTTCACGCGACCAGACAGCCCAAGTCCTTGCCGGCATGGTACAGCGCATCACCAACATCAAATATGCCCATCGTCGGCTATTCGTATTTCCGGGTGGTTTTGTCCAGCAGCATATCTTGGAAGGAAACAGGGTGCATGACGGCGAAAAAGTGCGTTTGCCGTGTGCCTTAGTCTGCCTGGTCCAGGATGGAAGGATTACCAGATTGGACGAATATTTCGACAGTGCTCATGTGGCGCATTTCAGAAAGTTTGTGTCAAAATCTCAGATCTGAAGGTCATCGAATATCACTGTTGACTGTATAGGATTCTGATGACGGAAGGAACAAGCGATTGGTCATGTTTAGTGTCCTGGCATTTGAAGAGATAGCTTCTAGAGAAGTGCACTTTCGATTCAGAAACCCAGTGCAACGATTGGGTGAAGATTGGTCCGAGCAGATTCCTCTTCGATGCGGTCCTCAAATTGATACCAGTCGGAATAGGTAACTCCGGTAGTTAACAGACCGGCGGGACCCGAGTTCCAGACTGGAACTTCTCCTCGAAAATCAGGGTACGCGGCCAGAAAATCGGAGTTCATAGTCCAACACTGTATGTCCTTCAAATGTTCGAGAAATCGCGGAGTGAAGTGAGATAGCCCAGTCTGTGGGCTAATGAGGGACGCTGCCTTTAGATCGTACGGCCACATGAAGCGGAACATCGTGTGCATTATTCGTAGAAATGTGTCACTATAGTAATGCTGACAGACAGTGAGGCGTTCGCGAAAGCCAGGCCTGGTGACAGGGTCAGAGGAGGCTATGTGTTTTTGGGGCGGTACACTATACCAAACATAAAAGTCGGCAATGACCGAATGGGGAATTGTGAGCTGTGATGGCCTGTATTAAAGAATACATCAGCATGTTTATCTCACTATAGCCAAGACTGAACGGGTTGCTACCTAGGCTTCATGAAAGGAGGGAACAGCTTTGATCCCACAGAGTTGGTAGTCATCTAAACAAGCACAATATCTTTAGCCTGGGATTCATACGGACATGGATCAGCAGACAGTTTACTCACATCTCCTCCTATGAGTTGACTGGCAATAGTCAATACAGCCAGGCGTTCGACGGGTCCGTAGCCCCTGCGGAAGTACTTTTCGTCGAGCTCTCGAAGACAGCTCCATCGGGTATCAACCCTGACGATTTGAGAAAACTGAGACCAGCCTCTGGAGACAGCGTTGATGATAATGTGCATATCTAGCTCCAGAGTGGCTGTGCTTGGACCAGACAGCTGCGATTTCGCCTGGGCAATAAGCTGCTCGACTTCTTCCCATGTTTTCCTTTGGCGACCGGCGCTGTTGTGGGCAATTGGAAACGCCCCCGACACTACAGCTGTATCATTGACTGGTTCAGGTCCGCCTGAAATGGTATGTTGAGCCAACGACACGTTGTTCGGTTCTGGGCCTTGGGCGCCAAAGCTATCGATTTCGAAGGCCTGTATGGCGTAGAGATCATCAAGCACCCCCAAGGGACTCGTCTCGCCGTAGCCATTCACCAGCGTCTGGTCCAAAGGCGCTGGCTCACTAGCCGACGAAGAATCGCTTTCGATATTAAGCTGCGTCTGGAGGGTATGGCCATCGTAATCAGGGGATGTCGTTGTTTCAGAATGGCCTAGATCTGTGAGGTCTGCTCGGAGTAGTCCCTGAATTTGCAGCATTCGTGTCCGATGCCTGTTATTTCTTGCTTCATTGTCATCTCGATCCTTTATCAGCTGAGCAAGGAGGGAATCCGGTTTTTCGTCTTGCAAAATCTGCAGACGCTGCTCCAGATTCCGCAGGTTTTCCCGATCTCTCTTCCGTTTACGCTGTTGGCAGATCCGATCCATTTCTCGCTTCCTGGTTCGTTTGCATAGCGCAGGATTGCTTGCCGAAGCTGTCTGAGCCATCGACGACGACATTGAGGTGAGAAATATCTTGAGGAACCACAAGTTCTGCTTCCTTTCTTCCGCCCATCAATAACGATAAACGAAGTTGCGGGGAGATTCTACGCCCGTCTGGGGTCTGCGGGGAAAGAAAGTACCCATACGGGGATGGATCGCTGCCTCGGTATTGCCTACAGTTGGCCGTAGCCGAAAACCTGCGCCATGTGGGGATAATGGTCGCGTCTGGCCAGCGAGAATAGGTCAACCTCGCCTCGGTCGGAACCGACTTTTTACGTTGAGGGCGGAACACCCCAGGGACCACTTTAACGGGTGCAAGGTGCGTCGAGGAAAAAAAGGGATTTTCGATACTGATGATGACGGGCTGAGCCCATGTCTCAATTGGCAGCTATCGTGGAATGGACTATGGGGTCTCCTGCGTTCCAGCTACATCTTCCCCTTTAGAGGCTCTTGTGCCTCCGTTGGGTCAGTCGCCCATTCAGCTACCCAGAGAGGGCATTCTGTCTCAAGTAGAAACACGGTAAAGCCTTCCGTTCCAACCTTCTGCGGAGTCGTTTCCTGCTCCGTGGCTTTCTTGTGTGCTTCATCTGGGGCACCATGACAAGCCATCGCCGAAGCCAAACCGGCACCGTACGGCTGGAATTCAAGCCCCTGATTCCACGTGGAATTTTCATCTTGATTATATATTATGGGTCCGGAGAACTCGCTCATGGTGTTTCGATGATAATACGGTAGCCAATAAGTATTCTCCATTGTGTTCCAGCGAGGTGGCACGATGGCAAAGTCCACCACCCCAGTGCCTGGCTCGCGGTATGACGGGGCTGTCAAAATGGTGAACAAACTTGGGTCTGGATGATCATAGAGAACGCTACCAAGGACACAGAAGCGCGCAAGGTCGTATTTGTATGGATAGTAAGTGCCATTCCATGCCGCGACATCGAAAGGGGTGTGATCCTGAGTGCAGCTGAAGAGGCGCCCTCCCAACCTCGATATTATCTGCCATTCTTGGTTATTCGCACAGGCTCGGCCATCCCTTAATGTACCATCAAAGGCAGCGACAGGGATCTGGAAATCGCGAACGTTGGCCAAGCTGCATGACCCAATAGGTCCAAGCTCGGGCAGACGAAAGTGCCCCTGGAACAGTTCGCAGATATAGCCTCGGGCTTGACCAGTGGGTAATGTCACCCGGTGCCGGATTCCACGCGGAATGACAGCAATTTCGTTCTGGCGAACCAGAAGGTGTCCTAGTTCTGTCTGGACATCGAGTGCGCCTTGTTGCGGAATGATCAACATATCACCATCGAGGGACGAAAAGGCTTGGGCGTCTTTCATATCGTCGGTGATGGCAAAGATGTAAATGGCTAGTCCTGTCTTGGTTGATGAATCCCCGGAATGTGCAAGGAGAACGGAATGAGTCCAATCTTGACCAGCCTTGACAGGAAACGACATCCACCGATGAATATTGGGACTGAGATGGCCTTTCGAACCCGCCGTACTCGATTGCGAGCCGTATGGTCTGAAAGCACTATGGTTTCGAGAAGAAGTTGCCCGGTAAAGCCATGTCTGGAGGGAATGATCCCTCGGCGAAGTAAATGCACTTCCCGACACTCGTTCTGTCAACAAGCCAAGCGGCGGTTTCTGAGGATTGCTGCATGCGACTGGATTTCCTCCTGAGAATGCTTCCGACCTGAGGATCTCAGCTGTTATACCAGCAAAGAGCACAAATCATGACCGCAAAGTACACCAGTGCGGAATGCGTCAGACAATAGGAATCCTTACTGGTGATAATTGCCAAATCCTTCAAGATACTGGTACTTCTCTGCCAGAGCAAACTTAGTCACTGGCATTGTGCAAAGAATATAACTGTTTGCGAGTTGTGTTCAGAGGGAAAAGAATGAATTAGAGCTAGATATTCGAAATGACAAGCACTGTGGTGTCGAAGCCAAAACACAGCATGAGCAAGACTTTGGGCCAGAACCAGCCTGGGCAGTGGCCCTGAGTCAGGGTTCCAAATGCTGGACAGCCCAGACATCGAAAACGCTAGTTTACTACATTGCCAGCTAGAAGCAGTGCTTCACGTCGTGCCTACGAGATCCTGCGTTGCATGAGCGTCCGAACGAAAGAGCAACCACCCCCGCAGCGATGTCAGCAGGCCCTGAGTCATGGTGGCCTCTGATTGGACGGCATGACACAGTCTGTGGAGGTTGGCGAAGTTTCCCTAGACGAACCCAGCTGTCGATCGAGCTCAGGAAAACGGGCGTGAAAGAAATGCAGCCGGGGAGCCCAGTCTCCCTTGAACATGTAAGTTGCTGTTTGTGTAAGACGGCGAAAAACCTCAACCATTGCCACGATCAATCGAGAGGAGATGGATACGCACCTGGAATCAGCAGCGAGGCCTTCGGCCTGTACGCAGATGATAATAGTCAAACTCGTGCCCGGGACCTCGATCAAAGGTTCTTCGAAAGAGGCCAGCGTCTTTCGGGAGATCATCCAGTTCCTTGAATCTCGTCCAGGTGTTTGTAGGGTATATTGGGGCATCGAGTTGGAAACATCTAACGTACTGCATATACATGTTGGTATGTTTGCCTGTGCCATATTGCCTACAACAGAACTGACTCAATTCGAATCTAGTGAGAGAGCGACTGCATGCTCATTACGACTTTCTGGCATCATCTGATTATCAGGCTTTAAAGGGAAAACTGGAATCTATGATGGAAGGCGACCCGATCATTCGTCATGCGTTCTTGCTCGAGTACACACAAAATTGCGAATCGCTTGGCAAGGGTGCACCTTTCACAGGGACTGCGATCTACGTTGATACCGATAGAGCATGGGACTATGCGTGGCAACTTTGGGCGACCATTGTGCCCAAAGTCAAAGGCTGCATGGGCGTGGCAGGGGGATACATTGTTGAGCCCATAGACGGCCACAAGAGGTGTTTCATCGCATGGGTTGGCTGGAACTCAACTGAAGAACATGCGGAATACCACCACACACAGCACTGGCGGGACAGGCAAGCTATTCTACGACAAGGCCACAAGGGTTACAGAGAGTATTGTCATGTGGTCTTCGACAATAGCCAGCCTCCGCCGAAGAGCTCACTTTAATGCTTGAAGAGGTTAACCACCAAGGCGGATTTGTTATTGATGAGGTAGATTCCTGTTTAAGACCGAGCCCGGTAGCCTTGCCCTATTCTGCCCGAAATTGCTTCATTCGAAACTGTATTGCATTCACGCCCATGTGAGCTTAGGCAGATGAAAAATCACGTCTTCTGAAGGTCTCACGGGGGCACAAAATCTGTTGACTAAGGCACTGAGAGCCCTCGGACAATGTTTCATGGAAGTCAAGGCTAACCGAAGCACTAAAACCTGACTCGCCGCTCCTGGGTCATGATCGTGGAGTGTGGAGAGTGGGAAAGTGGTAATCCCGACTCAAAAGGGAGTGGTAGGAAAGCCGTGTGGTTGCGTAGCCTTGGTATAAAGGGTTGGTTATAGCACGACTTTCATCCGTGCAAACGATGAAATTTGGTGAAGAGGATTTCCTGGTTTCCTGATCGATATCTCTACATATCACTTCGGTGGAGCTCCACAAAGATGCAGCCACAGGAAGAGAAATCCATGGTCGCGGCGGAGACTGATCACCACGAAAAAGCGTCGGACCCAATTACCAAGCCTGAAACCGAGTCCCCCCATGATCTGGCAGACTTGGACCTGGCAAATACCAAAGCTTACAAGGGCAATGACTCGGATGGTAAAGTCGTTTGGACTCCGAGAACTGTTTTAGCCTTCCTCTCCCTAGCTGGCCTCAATTCAGGTATTTTACTTATCTGCACCTACGATATGACTGCCGCTGACGTTAAACGTAGGCTCTCAATTGATCCTTTATTTTGTCGGTGGTTGCCTGTCTTATATCGCCGCCGACCTCGATGGTGCAGTTCTGGAAGGTTGGCTGCCTGTGGCCAACATCCTGGCCGTGGCTGCTGTAGCACCCTTCACGGGATATCTTGAAGATCTCTTAGGTCGAAGGATCATCGCGATTGGTGGCGCTGTATCCCTTTGCATTGGTTGTCTCATTCTCGGGACAGCTCACACGTTTCCACAGGCGATCGTAGGCCTGGCAATAAGTGGGGCAGGTGCTGCGGTGGGCGAGTTAACGGCGCTCGCTGGGTAAGTCAGGCTCGTTTATATTTTCTTCCCTCTCATACGGCGTATCAGGCTAACCCCAGCGTGATAGCACTTCAGACATGGTCCCTGTCAAGCAACGTGGACTGGCAGCGGCCGCAGTCACAGGCCTGATCTTGCCATTCGCTCCAAGCGTTCTATATGCCCAGCTGTTCGCATCCAGGGCCACTTGGAGATGGGGTGCATGGGTGGCGATGTGAGGGAGCCGCCCCGATTTCCGAATATGACTAACTGTGTTGTCAAGAATATACAATGGCCTTACTTTGGTCGGGCTCACGTTTACCTACTTTCCCAAAGCACATCCTCGAACACAAGGACTGACCGCCCGCGAAGTCATCAGAAAAATAGACTTCGTTGGAGGCTTACTGTCGATCGTCGGCGTCACTCTTCTGTAAGTATAGTTCGTTACCTGGTCCCGGCATACGTCCAAATTGCTAATTGTTGCAAAAGACTGGTGGCGCTGCAAGCAGGCGGTTACTCCCATCCGTGGTCGAGCGCATACGTCCTCTGCACACTCTTGATTGGAGCTGCTCTGGTCTTTGCCTTTTTTGTCTGGGAGTGGAAAGGGGCAAGGTATCCCATGGTTCCAAAGGAGTTGTTCGCAGGCCAGAGAGTCGTGGCACTCGCCTATGGTGTCGCGTTCATTGGTGGAATGAGTTTCTACTCGTTGCTGAACATGTACCCCCTCACTTACTCAACAGTATATTCTCCAGATCCCGTCAAAATTGGTCTCAGAGCGGTTGGAGTTGCAATATGTAACATTGCTGGGGCAGTATTCTTCAACGCTATGCTTTCGTTGACCAAGGGGCGAGCTCGGGAGATACTTCTCACCGCGTCCATCATCATGAGTAAGTCCATCGGCACACTTTTGACCTTCTCCAAGACTTAACTCTGCATCAGCTGCACTTGACGGCGCATTAGCCGTGGCCAACCCGTTTAACGCCAACACCACCGTCACCATCGGATCCTTGGCAGGTCTAGGTGTTGGAGGTATCTTGGTTCCAGCAGCAACTGTTGCTATGATTGTTGTCCCCGACTCTCTACTTGGTACTGCCGTCTCCTTATCTTTGTCTGTGCGCACGGTGGGAGGCTCGATCGGCTACAGCATATACTACAACGTGTTCGCCAACAAGCTGAAGACAGCACTTCCCACGAAGATTGCACAGTACGCCATTGAAGCGGGACTTCCTGTGGCCGAGGCCGAAAAGTTTGTGGAGACATTCCTGACCGATTCGGCGGACATCGCCAAAGTCCCGGGTGTCAATGAAAGCATTGTCGAAGCAGCAACCCTTGGTTCTCGCTGGGCATATGCGGAATCCCTGCGTTATGTTTGGTACACCAGTATCGCCTTTGGCTCTCTGGCAATCATCCTTTGCCTGTTCATGCCGTCGATACGGAAGTACTCCACCAACCGTATCGCTGTACAGGTAAACTGAGTATGTTTGAGGTAGACAAGACTTAACCTTCAAGGTAGAGGTCCACTATCCACCATTTCTCCGGTGCCGATAGGCTTGCACATTCTCTTGCCGCTTGATTTCGACGTTTACCTGTAATATTAATATGCACCCCCAGAGAAACTTCAATAGTGGTGGAAGTTCCTTTCGGTTATCCAACAGCTTATCGAGAGATACCTTGGTTGAGCTTGTGAGTCTAACAGCTATATATATTGCACTGAGGATCCCCCACCATGGCCGTTGCCGATCCCAATCACCGACCTATCCGTCCTACATGTCAGTGATAAGATGGAATTTTATGCCGCCGCTGGACCCTACAACAAAACTAACAAATACTGAAAAGATTATGATTGGCAGGCGTCACTGTTGTTTTGTTTGTGGGGTTATCCTACGCAAGGTCCACAAGCTTGCTCCTGGGCAGTAGGTGGGGGATAGGGCTTACCCGCGCCATGTAAGCGCCCAGGAATGACCGATAAGGGATCCCCTTATCTGACCATTGAAGGCTTGCAATGCAGATGATCGGTGGAAGTCTCTCATCAAGGGCTTGAGAGATTAAGGACGTAGATAGCGTGTTTTAACGGGTTGAGATTCATCATAGTGAATTCGAGGTAAGTTCCTCCATTTCCAAGTTTACCATTGCGTACTAACAGCGTGTCACAGGGCAGAAGCTCCTGCGTGGTCACATTGATGGTAGCCGACCACCGGCGAAGCCCCAAGATTCCTCCCACTCTCCGGCCGGCCGTGATGTTGGTATGACACCGCAGGCGGGAATTTGACACATTGACCATGACTTCAATTCCTGGTTGCAACTCGACTGGTGGTCGTACCCGTGACGGTTGCTGGACGTGCAGAACGAGGTATGTTTTGGCCATCGCGGGCCCAGTTCAGTGCTGACCAGAGCGGGCTAGGCGGAAAAAATGTGACGGGAAACGACCTTTCTGCAATAATTGCCACAGGCTCGGCCTGGTCTGTGCAGAGTACAGAGTCGAAATAATATGGGAAGACGACATTCGACGCAAGGGAATGAGGAAGCGCGGTCCATTATGTCGAGCGTCGAATCGTGACTCAGTTCGAAACACTTATCAATCCTATCAATCCAAACGAGCCTGTCAATTGCAACGACCGGTAGTGAAAGAAGGGTCTCTTCCAGCCAAGCATGTCAACAAAACCCCAATCGAGATGACGGGAGCGCAAGTCAACAGAATCGCGGGAAGTGCTGAGACAGCTCACGCTATTGGCATCCACGACGCCCAACCCCAGCTGCTGGCGAATTCGCGATTACTCTGGTTGCACCCGGGCCGGTTCAGCCCAGGTCGTTCGTATCTATGGGATCAGTACCTCAACCGCTTCTGCAGGACCTTTCCAAGCTATGCCGGACCTCAAAATCCTTTTCTGTCCGTTCTAGTCCCCATGGCCCTGCAGTCCAACATGCTGTTCGAGGCATTAATTGCCATGAGCGGAGCGCAAACTTGGGGAAGTGCGTCGCTTGAGCTGCGCGAAGAGACTCTTGAAGCGAAGCACAATGCCTTGAAGGCTTGCAGGGAGCTTCTGAACGGCCCGACATGCTCTCATATCAGTCGCTCTAGGACCGAGAGGGATGCCATCGGCTCCGTGGCGGTCTCCAGCGGATCAAGCACTAATGGTTCTATCACAATGGATACGCAGCTGATCGTGCTCCTTGCGACAGTCACCATGCTTTTACTCTACGAGAAATTCACCGGTGAAGGTGAGAAAAATTGGAAACCACATCTCAACTTCATCAATCACGTCTTCGCCTTGACAGACATCCCGAGGGGATCAAACAAGTTCAACATTGCAATGTGCTTCCTCCATGGGCTCTTCACGTACAATGACCTGGTCGGATCGACCTCTCTCAGAAGTGCTCCGCTATCAACTTTCTATGTTCAGGCCTGTGAGGCAGATCCGACCTACGGTAGTTCACACGCGACCAGTATACCTTCACCACATCCCCCACTTGGATCCGTCGACCGCCAAAATTGGCTGACATGTTCGGACCGCGGTGGACGTCGATTTGGTGCTTACCAGTTCCCCAGCATGATTGCTAGGATAAGCTCAGGCGATACATCATTAAGCATGACAGATATCATTCAGTGGGACGGCCGAATGGATTGGTTCCCGAGCTTCTGCTTGAAAGACAACGAGTCGTGCTATTTGGCTAACAGAGAATCACACGAAGAGGCAAGCATAATAGTTGAGCTCTACCGGAAGACAGCCATGATATACTATGAACAGAGGCTGCTCCGAGACCATCAACAAATCACTCTAAGCACGACACCACTCCGCCGTACCGCTCAACGTGGACACGGCAAAGGAGGAGAATCAGACTTGCCTTACAGCCAGCATATACGAGCAATCGAACTCATCAAGCTCATTCCCGCCCACTCGCCGTATGAGAATTCTCTTCTTTGGCCGATCAGCATCATCGCCCCGGATTTGCAATATCACCATACCGCCGAGAGACAGTATCTTTTCAAGAAATTGGAGTGGTTGGAGCGAAGATTCCAGATGAAGCAGTTTCACTGCATGCGACAATTCTTGCGTGATTTCTGGACCAGGGCGGATGAAAGCCACGCGTTAAAAGATATGATATCATTCTCGATGCTGCAAGGGTGAAATTTCATCCTATTCGGGCCACGTTTTCCGTGATGCGAATCAAGGGGGGAGCTTGACAGGGGTACGATTGGTCCAACAACCCGCTGGTGTCCTTATCCGCCGTCCAGAGTTCGCAATTTCATGGCGCGTGTGGCAGTTTAGCCTGGACCAGCATGCTCAGGGGGCACCGGTTCATGCCAGCGGCCTCACATCGAGCAAAAACTTCGGCATATTGTTCCAGAACACACAAGAAGCCCATTCACGCGTCTGCCCGGGTGCCAAAAGAGGACAAGATTATCACTCTTGGCCTAGCGCCGCTTTGAAGGCAACCACATGCTTTTTTGAGAATTCATCCACAAGCTTGGCGTTGCAACGGGTCGTTCGAGCAATGAGACTATGAGGGTCACAGATTCCCAGGCTGGGCTCTGCGCACATGCTCTCAGGATGAGACGCGAGACTTGTGCCTCGTTCGACAAGAAGCACATTGGCAGCGACGCACGAAGGCATCAATAAAAGTGACCTAATCATGTGTGTTTGAATCCACCTCAAAGAAAGCCACATGCCCGGGGCTTACTGCAGTAATATCCTTCCCTCCAACGAGCTCTGCCCAGGAATTTCCCTCCCACTTCCCGTATTTGCCCATCTCCTTCAGAAAGACACATCTGCACAACTAAAGGCGGGGCTCGTAGCGCCCGAGTAGTCGGCGACGATGGCTTTTACAGCTGCGTAGAGCCCTGGCCCAAGAATAAATAGTCCGACGATCATGACGAAGATATGGATAAGCGTCATGACACTTCTACCGAACGTCTGGAAGCAACGACCTTGGTATAACTGCCAGTAGCAGATCGCGAAGAAGATGTAGCCGAAGAAGGAGTCGAAGGCCGCACTCAAAAGGGACAAGAAATCTCCCATACTAGGTATGACTTCGGCGAAAATGAAGGAGAGGATCCAGACACCAGAGACGATGAGACCCCAAACGGCCCAACCAACCACTGTGTGACTGTGGGTGTGTCTTGATGTGCCCAGGACTCGATGATAGATAAATTTGGCGGTCGTATTCGAGTATATGATTCCAATGACCAGAGTGGGTACAATGACAAACGCCGAGGAAGCCTTTTCGTAGGCAGAAACTCTTAAGCTACCAAAAGCTGGGGCCACAGAGTACTGGCCGAGGAGGTGAAAGCTAATCGCAGGTGGCACCGTGAATAGGATTGTTGTTACGCCGAGAAGGACTGCAAGAGCCTTTGGGAAGTCCTGAGGCCTCTCCATTTCGGCGATAAATTGCGGAAAGAGAATTTGAGGCACCCAAAGGAACGTGACGTTCAAGGTGGCGTTCATACAGTCGACCCAGGTGGTTCCGAGCAACGGAAAGGCATATGTCTTGACGAGTCTGGCCGTGGGATAGTCACCATGATATCCATGGAGAGGGGTTTTCTCGACTCCAGCGAATATCATAAAGAGAGGAGGGATATTGTCATCGCACAAGCTACGATAAGAAGATTAGCTTACTATATCAGCAAGGAGAGTAACTCACCAGAGACGAGTGACATGATTGATATATGGTGTAAAGTTCTAGTGATGGAGGTCAAGATCCCCATGATCATCACAATCACAGCAAAGACGACACTGCATTGTGAGTGGTCTGATAGGACGTTAAGGACCTTTGCCCCTGTGAGAACGTGAAAGCCGATCAGGAGGATATTGTTGGCCAGCAGCATGAAAGCTGTCACCCAATAAGCAACGCGGCTTCTGCCAAAAATATGGAAGCCAAAGTCGCCTGTTATGCTGTCAGCTAGGTCTTCTTGCAGTCTAGGTTGATCGGGCATCACGGACAAATATCCCGGATTTGAGGGTATTTCATGAGATACTTGTGCATAGTCATGGAGGTGACCCAGAAGAGGGAGCCAGCAAGAATGGTGGTAACAGCCCATGGGACCCAGCCCAGAACACTTGAGAAATGGTGAGCCTTCAAAATGCCGGGGACCCACCAAGGACTGTAACACGTACGAGAGCGACCATGCTTGAGCCATGATGGCAAGACCGACTTGATCGCCACACAGCAACCACGCCGCCTTCTTCCACGACATGGTCCGAAGCTTGATTTCATGGGAGTGGTCTGGATGAGTGGTTGACTCCGATGTCAGCAAATTCACCCGCTGGAAGGTCGCAGGATACAGTTCTCACCTTCAATTACCAGCGCATTTATGGTTGCTATACTGTCGGCCTGGGTCACTTCATCCCCAAAGTCGGCCTTTGCTATTTCTTTGTCGGCGGTGGGAAGGGAGTGGTCGGCCATGGTCGGCCGTGATGTGTGTTATTCGACTCGACGGCCAAATTCCAGGTCTTCTGAGAGATGAGGTCTCGCTGCAGGAAGAAGGCGTGCAATCCGTTTGGGAGAACCCATCAGCCTTATATAGCCAACTTTTCAAAAGATGGTGTATATTGGTACCTCGCCCAGGCGTGGGCTTCTCGTTTTCTGCTTCTTAGCGGCTGGGTAAAGACTTTCGGCTTTCCGTGACCAGTGCAGCGCGATAAGAAAATTAAGGCCCAATGGCACGCATTTCGAAACCTATCGTGTCAAACCCATCAGAACTTGAACGCATTCATCAGAGATAGTGTAGTCAACAAAGATGAGATTTATCGTGGCGAGCCTAGAATGCGAAGTATCCTCGTCGAAGATTGCTTAACCACATCTGGAGTATTAGAGGCGCCGCCCTGAGTTCAGCAGCCGCTGATCATCAGGTAACGCAATTTATGCCATTGTTGATAGGCTGAGCGCATGAAGCTAGGGTTCGTTTACTCCATAAACTACCAAACAAGGAAAGGATGAAATGTCAGCCGGATGCCCGCAGAGTCTCAAGATAGTGGATAGTGGAGGTCCTCAGGGTCAATGTCGATACCGCCCACTCCAAGCCAATCAAAATTTGCTACTTGTTTTGTATTCCATTGGCAGGAAGAAGTTGTGTCGATGGATTTGCTGGCTGCGGCCGAAGATTATTCTCCACATCACTCTATGGACTCCATAGATAACATATCCCTGCAGGCGGGACGAAATCCAAATCAGTTCGACACCTAGAGCACCGGCATTTGGCGCCTAACCGTGAATGGGGGATTCGAGGCGCCCGGCCGAAACAGCCGAACTCAGATTCATTCGAAGCCAATCATGTCCTAGATATCCGTTGAGGCACGAAATGGCATTTGGGCGATTGCCTGGATCGAAACCGCGCAGTGGGTTCTCGGGGCATGTAGAGTCTACCTTACGAAGTAACCTCACGGCATTGCCAGTCATGCGCAAAGGTAGACAAGATTATATATAACTTCAACGATATGCCAAATCCAGGTCAGAATATGTTTGATTTGAGAAGCATATTGTGAATCTTGTAACACCTTCTTTCACTTGTCGCTTTCTCGAATCTTGCGAACAATGTCTGCCACTACCGTTCTGACAGCCTCTGCGAGGCATGAAGCTAGTACCTTCCCTAAATCAATGAAGCTCGCCGGGGTTCTTGATGAGTTCGAATCTTTCGATGTCACTCCATGCATCGGTAAGGAGTTTTCGAATGTGGACCTGGCGGGATGGTTACGCGCTCCTAACTCGGATGAACTCATCCGGGACCTCGCCATCACAGGTAGGTATGCTAGACTCCTGTGCAAGTCGGACTATCTTCTTCTAACATATTAAACAGTCGCTGAACGGGGGGTTGTTTTCTTCCGAGGACAAACCCGACTCACAAATGATTTGATGAAAGAGCTAACCCAGCGCCTGGGCCTGCTTTCTGGAAAGCCCGCCGACACAGGTTTGCACATCCACCCAGTAAGCAACTCGGGTCGCAAGCTGGGCGGGTCAGACGACGAAATCAGTGTAATTAGTTCCGAACAAGCCAAGGATCTTTTCAAATCCCAGTACGACAAATACGCCGACAAGAAGCAGAGTAGCAAACACGGATGGCACAGCGACATCTCATTCGAGCCTGCACCAGCGGACTTTACGATTATGCGAGCCACGCAACTCCCCAAGACTGGCGGAGGTGAGTGATTTTTGAAAGTTGGGTCCGTAGATCTCGCTGACTTGTCGACAGACACCCTCTGGGCATCTGGATATGAAGTGTATGACCGTCTTTCGGCTCCATACCAGAAGTTCCTGGAGAGCTTGACGGCTACATATGCACAGCCTGCTTTTGCCGAGTCGGCCCAAAGAGGTGGATTCGAAATGTTCGCCGGCCCTCGCGGCTCGCCGCTCAACGTTGGCACAAACCTTGTGTATCACCATCCGGTCGTTCGGACGAATCCTGTCACTGGCTGGAAGAGTGTCTTTGGCTTGGGCATGCACGTCCAGAAGATCGATGGCCTCTCCAGCGCTGAGAGTGACGCAATGAAAGCCTGGCTTCTGAGCATCGTTGCGGAAAACCACGATCTCCAGGTCCGATTCCGTTACCAAGGAGAGGGTGATATGGGTAGGTCATTCATTCTCCATTCCTTCCGACGAGATTACTGACTAAACTCCTTGTCTGCAGCAATCTGGGACAATCGAAGTGTGTTTCATACGGCCACGTTTGATTACGCTGGCCTCGGCCCCAGAACCGCACAACGGACCGTTGGAGTAGCTGAGAAGCCTTACTTGGATCCTGCCAGCAAGTCGAGAAGAGAAGCGCTGAGCGAGTTGTGATCACGGAGCATGAGCTAAGTGGCGCTGGAATCACTCCAATCATGAAGGCTGACTGCAGCCGTGCAGCCAGGAGGAATTTTCCAAACACATAGTATACAATTACCTTTCTATCTAATAAAAGTAGATAAGAAGAGCTCCCACTGTGAGGGGGATAGCGGCTGGTGAACCTCCTTGGTGAAGAACTAGTATGCATAAGCCTGAAATGTGGATAAATAAGACTACTCCTCCTGCCTGTTTTCCGTTGTGATAGATTGAACAAGAGAAATCTCATCTGTCACTCCAGCCGACCCTAGACGCTTGTCCGTCTTATAAAGTGACTCAGCTGCCGCTACTTGGGTCATCGGTATCTTTCCAAATCCTCCATTCCCACTGATTATCCCACAATGTCCTCCAACCTCGACGCCGCAGCGCTCTTTTCTTGCAAAGGCCTCGTTGCAGTCATCACTGGTGGCAGCACGGGCCTGGGTCTTATGATGGCCAAAGCCCTGGCAAGAAATGGGGCTGCCAAGATATTCATTCTTTCCAGGCGTATGGCAGTATTGGAAGCTGTGGCCGAGGAGATCGTGAGACATGCCTGTCCCTCACCGCTATCACCATGATGAGATTTGGAGGTGGATTCTGACCTCTTTTCCCGCAGGGTGACGACCGAGTATTTCCAATCCTTGCAGATGTTGGTGATGAGGAAAGTCTCATACAGGCCGTTGGAAGAATCCGAATGAAAACGAGCTTCGTAAATCTCGTTATCGCGAATGCCGGCATAGAAGGGCCAGCGACGTGGGATATGGGGCCTCTCACACCTTTATCGGAGGTGCAGTCTCGGCTGCTGGCCATTCCCATGGCTGAATGTACCAATACATGCCACATCAACACCACTGCGGCTTTCTACACGGCAATCTCAATGCTCGACCTTCTGGATGCGGGAAACAGAGAAGGAAATGTCCCCCAAAAGAGTCAAGTCATTGCCATCAGCAGTGCCGCAGCCTTCAGTCGAAAAATCAGCGCTGGCTTTCCGTATTCTGCGAGTAAAGCGGCCGTGGTCCACATGTGGAAACAGCTGGCGACTTTCTTGTCGCCATACGCGATTCGAGCCAACGTTTACGCGCCTGGAAGTATGTATATCCATCGTTCAGGATAAGAATATCAAGTCTGACTTGTCTGCACTTCCCAGTCATCTCATCTGAGATGTCCGTCCCACTCCTCCAGAGTTTCGGCAACGATATCCAGAGCGGAGAAGAGATTTCAAGGTTTGAAATGCCCGTTTGCCGTGCAGGGACTGAGGGGGATGTGGCTAGCACCATACTCTACATGGCCAGCCCGGCTGGTGCCTTTTTGAATGGGAGTATACTTCTGTCGGACGGTGGCAGGACGTCCATCACACCAGCTGCATACTGAATGTTTGCAACTAAATAGCATGCCTGGTCAAATTGCCATGGACGACTGCAATCTTACTATTCCTACCAGAGTCATGGACGTTTCACAGATGAGCCCAATGCGAAATCAGAATGAGGAAGAGGCAGCAGCGTAGTCCTTGAAACAGCTAAGAGCCTGTCCAAAGCTCACAGCTCCACCATTTTAGACCGTGCGACTTTTGTTACTGCTTGCTTAAGATATACTCTATTGGGAGCTCTGATATGTTGGAGAGCTCAATATTCACTGCTTTTGGCTCACCCCCCTTGGGTACGGAAATGTAAGTCCACAGCTCAATACGCTACACCAGTGCACTTCAGAGTGTTTTGCAAGGACATCCACCCCGGGAACGGTAAGTCAGTTGTTGCTCAGGGAGAAGGCCACAGCAGTACTTGTAGTCATGTACCAAACCGTTACATATTGGCGCAAGGTGAATCTTGGAAAGGCGCCTCCAATTCACTTCTCGTTCAATTTTGACATCGAAGCTCACCGATACAAAATAACCCATATCTCTCTTCCTTTCATACCAAACAGCAATGACGCCCCACTACACCTGCGCTGAACGGTGATATCTACACTCTTCGCGGACACCGTCCTTGCCAGCTTCGTCGCCATCGGCTCGTGCACATCCCCCCTGTCCGTGGCCCCGGACAGGCTAGGACACAGGTGGGAGCAGATGAAAATCCGATGAGAATGGGAAGTCACTCTGGGAAAAGCTTGAGCGGAGTCTAAAGGACGAGAAGAGGCGACAAAGGTTTAAAGGTTGGTGCTCTCTGGTCCAAACGGCAGTAAGGCATGCTCTCACAGAGATATAGGTACTATTGAGATCAGGCACCGCCCTCCGTGTCGAATCTAATATCGCTAAACACAGTGAAATCGGCAAAAAGGTCGTCATCATCAAATGTATCTATCCAAGCTGTCTGCCCATTTTCGTCGTGATTGTCAACCCAGCCGTTGGTGTGACCAGGAGTGTCCGCGGTGGGTGTCAAAGGGTCAGCAGTAGCCGTATCTGCATCTGGAGGGTCAGAGTGAGAGTGACTTTGCATCAGTCGGGCTTCTAGCAGAATAGCATAGTATGATGCCAGATGTGAATCATCAAGCGCCGAGATCTTCAGTGCTTGAATACCTTGCATGAGGAGCTCTTGCAACTGAACTGCTTCCAGAGCTCCACCCGGCCAAAGATATCGCAAGGTCTTGGCCTTCAATATGAAGACACACGCACTGATCAAACGCTGAAAGCTTCGAGCAGGGTAGTATCGTAGCTTGCCGGTCTGCGTCAGAAAGATTGCTCGCTTGATGGTTTGTTTCGCATGGTCGATCACTTCACGACTGAAAGGATGTTCAGAGGGCTCGTCAGTGGGGAACTCCGGTGGCATATTGGCCGGCGCATTCGAAGGTCGTCTGCTACCTGCATCCGACAAAGCTCGCATCGCTGTGGCTTGTAGTGCAGGCGATTTAGTGTACATGCAGACGTAATGAAATTCGAAGAAAAGCAGGTCTGGTATCAGACTCTCGGTGATGTCGATACTGGAGTGACTCGACCTGTAATCTCTGAGATGCCGGCTTTCCCATTGGCGTAGGATTTGGCTGAAATGTTCGAGAATCTCGATATAGTTACCAGTTCGAAGTAGTTCTCTTGTGATGACAGGGCTAGAGAACATCAACGAATGCACACTCCTAGTAATCTTGATTAGACGGATCCATGCTCCGAGGATATCATCTGTTAATTCCGAATCCTTGGGCAGAAGCGACGGGCTGAAGGTAATCGCAGTCATTGATGTATAACCGAGCTTCGCGGCAAGTAAAGTTGTGTAGATAAATAATAGGTCTCGTACCCGCTTGCATCGTAGTTTCTCGCTTTCGGTCAAATGCTGTTCGGCGAACCGCTCTTGAAATAGGCCTACTTCATGAGCAAGCATCTGGGCTGTACCCAATAACATCCAGGACATTCGATCAAGCTGCCGAGATGGGTGAATCACATAATCCTTCCGCTTCGTAGACAACGAGCTCCTCTTTCCAAAATTTGCCGGGCTTCCCATACCACCAACTGCTGAGAATTGCACCGCCCGAGGATACCATTCAGTAAGAAGAAGTAGCGCTTCGATAGAACCAAGAGATCGAAGCCGAGAATCGCCCCCACCCAGTGTGAGGGTCTGAATAAAGCCTTGAACATGGTTCCAGAGCTGGTCATGAATGTAGCTCCCGCGGGAAATTGAAGCAATTCCAGGAAGAACGTGATATCTGCTTGAAATTAATAGAATCGTTGAACAAAGCAGCGGCTCGTCTGCGATAAGTTGGCGGTGATTGCCATGGTTGGCGTAATAATCGGTCAATACAGGAGAGTGAAGAGAGAGTGTGTCGAAAAACCTTTCGTTCCATCTTTAGTGATCTCTGATTCCCAAAAGGACAAGCCAGGGGTCTACTTACGCATCAACAAAAGTTACTGCCTGTTCTGCGGTCAATAAGCCAGTTTGTACCAAATAGAAGGAACTCCAGTCTTCGACAAGTGCTGTACTAATGATGGACATTCCGAGAGCCGAAGTCGTTGACAAGCCTGGAAGGCAACTCTTCGTGACTTCTCCCCCTGAAGAAAGTAATAAACACTCAGGCGATACTTGTGTGCCACACTCCGCTACATTGACTAGAAGATCCAGGGGATCATTCCCTTTCGAGATCACTGTTTGCATGACCATCTTGTCAACGGAGATTTTCTGTGCTTGCACTGAGCCGGGTACTGTTCTCCCGTGGTCAGGTGTGTCGAGATTGGGAGAATCAGCATTTCTGCATTCCGCATCAGATTGAGCAGAAGCCATAGGCGCCATGTTCTTCTCCCGCCACCCATTTTGATCCTGCAGGCTCTTATGAGGCTGCAATTCAGGCCAGGTCGGAGCTTGATATGCCACAGTTGGGGCCGTCGATTTCGCGTTTCCTGGATTCGCCAGGCGATCGTTATGAAAGGATAAATTCTTTCCGTCATGATCTATGGGGGCTTCTTGGTGGAGTGATGCCGCTGCTTGCTGTTGAGTCTGTGCTGGAAATGGTGGTAATGAGCTAGATTGCGCATGACCACGATCACGATGACTCATCCGAGAAGCTCTCTCATGTCGAAAAATGCATTCCTTCCGTGCGCGACGGCAGTAGGCACACGGAGGTCCTGCAAAAGCAAAGAGATCTTGCGTACTTCCTCCTAGGTCGCACCTGATCTTCCTTTTGCGACAAGCTTCACACGCTTTATAGCCTCTCTGATATTCTCGCATACTTTTGACTGAAGTGTGTGATATTTAAATCAAATGGACAGGATCAGTTCGAACGAGGTAAGCGAGCTCAATTTTCATCACAAAAGTAGTATGATCACGTGGGAGAATATCGACGTGCTGTGACTCAGTGGAGAACATACCTAGGTATCGAATTCTACAGGTTCGTGGGAACCGTCTGACTATATACTGGCGGTTCGCCGGGTATTGTTACGAGCGCTAGATCCTCGGCCGAAAACGCACGGACTATCGCAAAAGCCATTACATCCTCTTGGCAATCGTATCAGTTGCCGGGAAGTATTCTCCCGTGTTACAATGGTAGTTGGCGTACATGGCTTAGTAGCTATATAATTCTCTCAATTGGTGACCTGCAAGCAGCGCCACAACAAATCATTTGATATGCACGACGTAGAACTGATTGCCGGGAATCTTACTTCTTACAAAGCCATCGAGTATTTACTACAGGATATACTAAAAAACTCCAAGTCAGGACATGTCCTCTCTGTGCATTAATAGAGGGGGGGAAATCTCACCAAGAATCTCATGTTTGCCCGATCAGTTAGGTCAAGGAACGCATTATCGTCTGCCAGGCCCAACCCTTCCGTTCCTGCCAATGCCAGTCGACGCCTGTTCTGACGATGATAGCTGTACACCAATACAAAAATGAGTATGATGGCAAAGCCCAAAACCGCAATTATAGTGATCTTTGCTGCAGTGTACTCGGGCGGGTTGGTAAAAGTCAATGGACCTAAGATGTTCCCAAGACAGAACGCCCTGCAAGAAAGTATAAGTGTTGTTTTTAGTCATATCAATATACTCACATGAGAAGAACTGCATTAGCTGTGACCTTCTTTGTGTGTCCCGCGAAATTGCCAGCAACCCATGAGTAGATCAGAGGCGTACCTAGCTGCATTAGTGACATCTGAGAGGGTATGTGGTCTTAATACATACTCGCTGGTATTGTGTTTGTCAAATAGTTGCCTAGCAGTCGGCCAATTTTATCGTGAGTCGGTAAGAAAGCCATCAATCCGCTTCCTAGAATGCCCGGGAGCAACAAAAGTACGATCCCTACTGATCGATTGTTGAGTTTCCAAGCAGTTAACGAGGCACCGCCAATGGAAATGATGGCAATTGCACCGCTTGGGATACTCAACAAAGCCGATTGCGTCGAGGTATAGCCGAGCCTATTCCGTTAGCATGATCCCGCCTGCAAACTTTATGTAACCTCACCCTTCGATGATTGCAGCCTGAAACACACTCACAGCAGCATTGGGAATGTTGATTGCTGTCGTGATCAGAAAGATCAACCACAAATGTGTGTCGAATAGAGCTTCCCAGAACTGCCCGGGCTTGAAGGTCTTGTTCTCAACACCAGTGGTATCCCCACGGAGCCTCGCGACAGCAATAGCTTTTTCCTCGACCGTAAGATGTGATTTCATGGGGCTGTCAGGCAGGAAAACAATCACTAGGATTCCAACCAATATTGTCAGGAGCCCGAAAACCAGAAACATAACCTGTCTCGTTTCAGCATGTCACCTGTTAATGGAAGAGAGAAAATTCACCTGCCAGCTCTTGAAACTCCTGCCATGATAGTGCTGAAATCCGTATGAGCATAGCGCACCAACTATGATACCAAGCCCAACGGTACCGGCCCAGAATCCTATGCGTAGGGGCTGTTCTGCGTAGACGTCAGAAGTAGGACATGTGACGAGCCAACAACGGAGCTACCTTTTCTCTTGTACCACATTGTACAGATGAGGATCATCCTGCAATCACCAGTCAGACGAATCGATGAGAGGACTCATTGATACCCACGCAGGTGACACACAAGCTTCAAACACACCCAATAACACTCTCAATGTCACCAAAGAAGCGTAGTTCTTGCACACGCAATTCAAGGCCAGACAAATACCCCATAGAACAACTGCGCTGGTGAGCTTGTTGTTTTGACTCTGCTCTTCCACAGATGCATACCATTTACTCCTAGCACTTTTCCCACAGGCAACTTTTGTAGAAGATATGCCATTACTGGTTCAAAGACGAGATAGGCAACATAGAATGCTAGGGCAAGTTGGGAGAATTGAGAGGGTGACGAGTTCGTGTCTTTGCCGAGACCCATAATATTTGCGAAGTTGACTGTAATGGTATTAGACTTTATTTGCAAGCAACAAGTACAAGTGTCGATATACTGATATTCTTGTCGAGGAATTGCAGAAAATATACCATGGCCAGCAATGGCATCAGCAGCCAGTCGATCTTTCGAATCAGCCTTTCTTCGTCCTCGAGGTTAAAGGATATCTGTCCAATATCATTCAAAAAGGTAAACGCTGCATCAACTGCCTCTGGCGTCTTCTCTGGAGCTCTGGAGACTTCCATGGCCAGAGGCTTGCAACTCTCAAGTTCGAGATCCATTGTGTACGGTTATGGAAGGGAGAGGCTTCTACGCCCAAGTAAAAGAAGACACGAAGAGGTATTGTGGATGAGCCTACCCGTGCATCAAGAACTGGGGAATGGACTCCTTTTGAATCCATTTTCCCCAGCCCTTCTCCGTCAATTTGCGGGGTTGGTGCATGTTTGATATCTGGATCTGTCTCTATGACCGTCGGTCTTCGAAACGCGCCAAAAATCCTCCGTCGGATACACGCGGAGCGGGAGAGACAGAAGCCAATCAATGTAAGAGCCGCATGTATCCGACGGTTCCAGATGATTGGAAAAAATACTTCGAAGACACGTACAGATAGCCGAAATCATACTGCCACGCACGCAGTTTCATGTCTTTGCAACATTGAAATCCTTTGTCTCTGATTTTGGCCATGAGACTTCAGTATTGTCTGTCATTTGTGCTGCTCAGCCAAGGGCAATCACCATGGACCACGAAACCGAACACACCATCGAAGTCATTCGAGCCTCCGTACGGAACTCCACTCCTGGCAGGCTCATAGACCTTCAAAGGGAATCGCTGCGTGACGAATCGACACCGAATCATGTCCATGTCGCCAAAAAGGAACTATCGCTTTCAACCGATACCAATCTTGTGGAACTTGTGGCGGACGCAATAAGAAGTCTGGGAGATGGACATGAGACATTTACTGTTCCCACAGTGGCTTCAGTGGTGGTGGAAAGCGTTGAACATGAAGCCAAAGAGAACAAATGCTCTGGAGGGAGTGATATTGAACCTCGACCGATTATACTCTATTTCCATGGTGGACAGTTCTGGTAGGCTGTGATCTTACCGTCGTGTGTCTTATGCTGATCTTTCAAGGCGTATGGGCCGTGCACTCAGATGGGTTACAGGTGAACTCGCTCGTCAAACCAAAGGTCGATGTGTCGCGGTACGATACAGCCTCGCCCCTCAACATCCATTTCCCACCGCTCTTGTCGAAGGCCTTGCAGCATACGTTTCTCTCCTCTACCCTACAGAGGGGAATCTACACACTTCGGTCGCCGCAAGAAACATTTGTTTTGCCGGTGACAGTGCCGGTGGCAACATCGCATTGGCCTTGCTTCAATTGATACTGGAGATCAACAGGAAGGGACAGAAACTCTTCTGGAATGGCCGAGAGAGCGAAATTCCTGTCCCTGCGGGAACAGCTGTACTGTCTCCGTATGTCGATATGGTTCGATCACTTGACTCTGAGGTGTTAAATCTGCCCTACGATATTATCGGGCCTCGCGGTCCGCTGTTCACGGTTTTCGATCGTTGCGATATCTGGCCTGCGAAGCCGCCTCGACATCATGTGTATGCTGATGACAGCGCTCTACTCCATCCACTTGTTTCTCCAGTGACAGTACGAAACTGGAAAGGAGCACCACCTTTATGGGTCTGCGTTGGTGAAGAATGCCTCGCTGATCAAGGAATGTTTGTAGCACAACAGGCGGCGTCAACCGGAGCCACAGCTGTTGTGGAGCAGTTTTCCATGATGCCGCACAATTTCTCCCTCATTGTGCCACATGCAGTGCCTTCTAAGCTATCTCTACAGCAATGGGCATCATTTATACGAAGTGTCGTTGAAAAGCCAAGCAGTATCAAATCGGAGGCAATGCGGTGGAGCGGTGTACCGCCTCTCAAGACGTCCATGGATCTATCTAGATTAGTTCCGTTGCAACGGGAAGGTGTGATCGAGAAGATGAAGGCCCAAATCCAGGACTGGGGAGTGCCCCCCTCATAGATTGTGTGCATGGTGCCGGTGGGACTGATCGCTCCTCTCAACCGCTTCAGAAAGGGTGGAGCATTGCTGAAGTAGCACACACTGGCGGCTTCCAGGTCAGGACAGGACATCGAGAGACTAAGGGAAGGCTCCGGACAAAGACGTACAGCAAATGCCAAATTCATCGTTCAGGAGCTCCAAAATGACCTCTGTATAATATCTTTGGCCAAGAGGTTTACACCTCCAATCGGGCTCATATCGACGACATTACCCAGGTCAAGCTCTTTTGGTCTTTTCGGCCGCTTACCTAGAGGCTGAACTCCTCCAATGTGGCCCAGGTCGTCATTTCTAGGCTGAATCTCAAGTCTCTATACCCTTTGGATCCACTAAGCGGAAACTGGATATGTCAACTTAAGAGGGTGCGAAGCAGCAAATGCAATATGCGCGTGATGCAGCCAATAACTTTTGTATTTCTCTACGACAGCAGCCTGGCTTTGGCTTTACCATCCTACCCTTCAAACACCGGCTAGATATAGTCAACAACTTCATCGCGTGGCCCAACAGTGACCCATGATAAGCACCTTCCCCCAAACTCATCATCCCATTCATTTTAATTCAATCTCCTGCGCGAAACCATCCTTCTCAATGTCTCCACCGTTGCCTACGCCTCGTCCCTCTAACTGCGTTGCGATCTGGAATAACCTGGTCTTCTCCTCGTGAGCGAGGTTGTCGCCAAACACCACGTCCATGTCCTCCAGAGACTTGCCGCGGGTCTCCGGAATGAAGAAGTAAGTGAAGCCCATTGCGAAGAGACAGAAGAAGGCGAAGAAGATGTACGTGCCCCACTTTATGGTGCGTAGCATGTCTGGAGTCACGAGGCCAATGACGAAGTTGCACATCCAGGTGGTGCTGGTGGTGATGGACATCGCTTTGGATCGGTTGCCTAGATTAAAGATTTCGGACGGCAGGACCCAGCCGATAGGGGCAAAGGAGTAGGAAAAGTTGATGTCTGTGGTCGTGAAGCCACTGTCAGAGTTGGACGGGTGGACAACAGCATCTCAATTCGGGGAAACCAGCATGCGAGATGACAATGGACTCACCATAGATGTAAATAAAAGCAATACCGACCCAGCCGGCAGCTTTGTGGCGGACGAGATTACTTCCGTAGGCGCCAATGATACCGCCAACAATGACGAGAGACACGAAGGTGCCGAGGGCACCGCATATAAGAGGTGGTCGGCGGCCAACTTTATCAATCAAGAAGAGCGCCGGTAGAGTGGAAAGTGTGTTGACGATACCGTAAACGCCAGTGGCAAGGAGCGAAGTGGTGTTGCCTGCCAATCCGAGCTGTCCGAAGATGGTTGGCGCATAGTCTGTAAAATGATCAGAAGAAGAATGGATAGATCTGTCGATCACCATCATAGATCGGGGAGGTACGGAGAAACAGGTAGCGGTCAAACTCACAGATCATGGCATTGCAACCCATGAATTGCTGGAAGAACATGGTGCAGCATCCAATTGAGAGACGGCAGAACGCAGGCCACGTCGACACCAGTGCAACGTACTGAGCGATGGAAAGGCTCAATCCGGACTTGCCAGGGTAGTGGGAACGGACATAGTCCTCCTCAATGAGGACTTCGGCTTTGATGGCAAGGAATTCGTTGCGGATGGCCTCGGTGTCGATGTGGAGGCGGCAGAGCTTGGAAAGGCAGCCAAGGGCTCGGTCTTCACGCTTCTTCATGAGCATGAATCGCGGAGACTCGGGAAAAGCCAGCATGCCCATTCCAAGGATGAGAGCAGGCACAATCTGCAGAGCGAATGGGACCCTCCAGGAAGCGTCAGACTGTCCAGTACATCCGTGTGGGCCAACATCTTTGAGTGGATTAAACGTCCGATCGGAAGCAGTTCCACCAGAGTACGGGATCGAGGGGTCGCAGCGCACGCCACCGATGTAGTGAGTACCATACTCGAGCCAGTAACTGACAAGGATTCCCAGCGTGATGCTCAATTGTTGCAGAACCACCAAGGTGCCGCGTATGCCAGGGATAGAGACCTCAGACATGTACATAGGAACAATCATGGTGAGCATTCCGACCGACAAACCCGCAATGGTCCTTCCGGCAAAGATCATTCCCACGGAGACAGCACCAGCTTGAATGGCGGAGCCGATGGTGAATATGACAACAGCCATCAAGATGCTGCTCTTGCGGCCGAAGCGATCGGCGATAGGACCATTGACGAGAGACCCGAACCAGGCAGCCAGAAGAAGACTGGACACAAACCAGCCTTTGAAGCCGCTATCGAGGTAGATGCGAGGGAAGGCTGCTCCAAAGGATTCCATGGTCAGAACGCCAGAAACGACACCCTGGTCGTAGCCGAATAGAAAACCTCCCAGGGAGGCGAACTAGGAAGGAATCAGTCAGTCCGGGTGGGCAAGTAGGGAAGCCAGTGAACCCACACAAGCGAGGCCAAACACATATGGATTTTCTCGCAGCAAGGCTGTCACACTTGTTTTCGGCGAGGCGTAGAGCATATGCTCACCCGGTGCGGATTCGGTACTCATGACGTTTTTTTTTGTAGAAACTCGCGTGCGGTATTCCAAATGCTCAGCTGTAGCATCAGCGGGCGCCTCGACATCTTTATAGATCTACAGCGTGTCTCCATCCGTCTCTTTCGAAGAAAAGGCGAAGACGGAGTCCTCCGTATCAGCCGGAGCACTGTAGTCCGGGGGGCCCACCGTCGCAAGTCCAATGACATGGCCAGTTCGGCTCATTGGTACACCGAAAGCCAGAACAGACCCAGTTCGCAATTCCCGCACGTGCAGTCTTACTGGGCGACTTGGGTGTGACTACAATTGCGCAGATGGCTTATCGAGGGCCTCCGTACGTCGGGTCGAGGCCAAGCTCTGGAGAAGTCCTGTCCAGACGCCCCCAGATTCTGGCACAGGATGGACAAGTCCCAATACGCAGTCAATCCGAGGCGCACAGAAGCCTCTGATCATTTTCGAGGGAGAACCCTTCCACTTGCGGGGCACGCGCGGAATTCTTCCCCACGTTTGCCCCTATGTTCGGGGTTGTTGCCTCACAGCCGGAGCTCTGCCAAAGTCGGCAACGCGGGCCGGCTTTGAGACGATCCAAAGACCAGGGTGGTGATGCCCGCCGTTTGGCTGCCGGAACGCTGTGCTCCGATAATGTCACAAGTTGTCGGTTTATCATAGTTTTGCGCGTCTTCATTGCGAGGCCATGGCCACAGCACAACTGGGTAACGCTGCTCTCCAAACACGTTGCTCTCATTCTCCTACTTCAATATGACCCTTGCCATGGTTGACAAAACCCTGGAGGACACCATCGATATTCTTTCCAAACGGATCAACGATCTCCTGGTTAAGTTTTCCCTCTATCCTGACCGACGGGTTATGATCGCGTTTGCTGGAGTGCCTGGGTCAGGCAAGTCAACAGTGTCAAGCAAGCTCCTGAAGAGGCTGCCCCAGAAAGCCATTGACAACGTCGTGGTGGTGCCAATGGTGAGATCTTTTCCAAACATTGATAAGAAGGTTTCTCCGGTTACTGACACCAAGTAGGATGGTTTCCACTTCCCAAAGAAGACCTTGGCAAAGTTTCCTTGTCCTGAGACAGCGTTTCGTCGACGCGGCGCCCCCTTCACCTTCGACGCAGATGCATTTGTTGAGATTGTGACGGCTCTGAAGAAGGGTCCCGTCACGCAGGAGGACGACCCGAGATTGGCGATACGGCTTCCGAGCTTCGACCACGCCATCCAAGATCCCGTGGATGATGACATTTATGTGCCCTCATCTGCACGGGTCATCATTGTCGAAGGCAACTATCTCTTGTTTGACGAGTCTCCGTGGAACAAGACAAGCGCTATGTTTGACGAAAGGTGGGATGACACCGTCGTCGTTCACTCGTGACTGACGCGATGCAGGTGGTTTGTGGATGTGCCCCCTCAAATTGCGAAGCGTCGTCTGATCGAACGCGACGTCCACGCCGGAATTGAGACCAGCAGGGAGGCAGCCGCCGCCCGCGTCGAAGAGAATGACCTTCAAAATGGTGCAGTAATCAGATCAAAACTTATAAGGCCGGACGTCACCTTCATAAACTGAGACTGGCGCTCCCTCCGTTACCAAACCACGATTCATGTTTCGAGGCGGTGTTGAGCGTAGCTCGGCAGTTATCACGGGCTCGCACCTCCCAATATGCAGAGCCCCAGGTCGAGCTTGAGATCGGAGGTGGCAAATATTCAGACGATCGATGCACAACAGCGTCGGCCCATGCACTGACTAACAGCGAAATTCTCTGGACAACACAACACAGAATCATGTTCATCCACCCGTACCATACTCCGGCCAGCCAAAGGCACTGAGCGGATCATCAGTCCCCAACGGCCACATCGAGAAATCCATCACGCCAGATTCGATGTTGCCGCCTGCCAATGTTTCATCCTGAAACGTCACCCCAGGTATCAGGCGGTCCAGCACCTGCAAAATGCGAGAGGCGAGTTGGTTGCGAGAGAATGTCGTCGACAACAGTGTGCGTGTCGCCTCGAGATCGGCTTGCCAGTTGGTGGCAAAGGGTGACTGGGGTTCGGCGCACAGGCAGACCGCATGAATGAGAGCTGCATGGAACAGAAAATATCTGCAAGCAAAATTAGCAAAAGCTGACATTCACAGCAACACAGATAGCACACAGGGTGTACCATGCCGCCAATCTAACAAGCGAATGTTGATCCATGTATTCCTGAATCGTCACGGTCGTTTGGTGGGCAGCTTCAAGACAAAGCCTTTTGCATTCTTGATATTCTGACGGAAAAGAATGCTTTCCTTGGATCTGCTCCATTGCTGCTTGCAAGATGATGGGCCTGAACAAAATTATTTGCATGTTCCAGTATCGCCACCATAGCTTCGACCGAGCGAACAAATACCAGTCGAACGAAGCTGCTTTAGGCTGGTCGAGGCGCAGATAATCTGGAACTGTTGCCGCCCAGCCAGTGAGTTGCTTATTGAAGACCAGAGCTTCGCTGGCGGAAATGGAGGGTGTGCACAACAGGCGATTAGACATGCCGTTGGCTGCTAGATGGAGCTCAGATTGAGCTTTGAGGCTTGAGTAGATTGTGGGTTGCTCAACCTCGTGGGGGACTTGGGACGTCATCGGCGTCAATAGCTGCGATCGTTAGACTATTCTGCGTAAGGCCGCCAGTTACTTGCCGGATCTGGTACATTCAAGATCAGCTTGACATCAATCATACTCTGTTCGGGGAGCAGTATCGCCCTTCCGAAGGTGATGGACGCTCCACTGTCAAAGATGAACAGACCCCACCACACTCTCCGTCTCATTTCTCGTTGAAGCAGGCTGATATTCCACTCCGGAAGTTCTCGATGTAAACCAAGAGAGAGGGCCATGCGCACAGCCAGTCCAAGATAATTCCATCCCGTGTTGGGTTTGTTACGCTTCTGTGTGTAGTTGCTCAAGAGTACTAATGCTTGGACGGTGGAAAGACTTGCAGATTCGAATATCGACTGATCGTGCAAGTATGAGCAGGCTTTTTGGTAGAAGACGTCGTCGAGGTCGCCACTGTCTTCGCAGACGGTCCAGGCCCCGAGTGCCAAAACCGTGTAAAGCAAAATGTGCCATGTCCGATCATCAGGTCTTTGCACCAGCTCAGCATATTGAGCTCTGAAGGTCGGCTCGTGAAGAAAGGGATAGGCGGTGTGATAGTTCGCAAAGTAGGCATCAAGGGTGGAGCTTATGAGTTGGTGTGAAACTGCCATGCCTAGGCCTTGTGACACCGGCGAGGGTCTATCAATGCTGCCACCAGGAGACGACATCGGCCTCCACGGGCCGACATTGATGTGTAGATCTTTCGTCCATTGTAGCAGAAATCTCAAGAAGACAACACCAGACGTCGATCCTATCATCAAATCTTAATAGTGGAAAAGTGCAGGGCTTGCAAGCAACGTACCCAAGTATCCAGTGCCTGTAGGCTCGACTGAGAGAGCCGCCATGCCGTCAGTCAGTCCAGAAAGTTCAGTAGTGTCTTCCTTCCACTCGAACCCATCAGCTTCATCAGGCAGAGATTCAGACAGCATTTTCTGATGTCCGGCGTCTCGCTCCATCTGAGGACTGGCCGTAGCGGCAGTCTCCAGCACAGGTTCTTGCTTCATCCCCACGTTCGGGATCGACTGCAGCTCCTGTTCTGAGTCGACACCGGGAAAACGTTGCGCGAAAAGGCTCTCCAATTTTTGTAATCGGTTTTCTACCGAGGTGAGATATGCTCGAGTAAGTGGAGATCGGACAGCCTTGCCGCTATATAGACAGGGTCGGTTTTTTGGCCAGCACAGCTGGCATGTTGGCCGTTCCTTAGAGCATTTGTATTTTCGCAACCTGCACGCATAACAGGCTGTGGCAGAGTTGGAAGAGTTTCGTTCCATCACACGAGATGCCGAATCCAGAATTCATAAGAGACTCGCAAAGCCCCGTGCAATCAAAACTTACTAAGGTGCCTCGGAGTGAGGAATTTCGAACAAGAGTGAGTTTGTGTCAGAGATGGACAGGAAGCGGGATGGAGCTTGATGTGCCAAGAAAAGATGCGAACTGGCACCGCGGATCGCGGGCCCCGGTACCTGAGTGTCACGCTAGAGTAGTCCGCCAGCTCTTCTATCTATTAGTTTAAGTCAACTTTTCGTATGTTTCTACGCTTCTTCTCTTGTCGGGCTTAACAAACTGCGACCGAACGATGAGGAATCCCAAATTGCCTGTCTAGATCTCCTACCAACGTCACGGGCACAGCAACAATATAGAAGCCATCGTCTTTCAGGTCGCCCTTGTTTCTAAACCATGAAAGACTGTGAGAACGTGATCGTTTGACAAACAGAACCCCACTCTTATTTTGTCTCTCCAAGCTTTGGTCTACAAATCAAATCAAGAGAATAGGCTGCCGTTCTTCCTCTAGTGAAAATAAATATATGCTATTCGATCCACTTGTGGTTACAGCTGTGCATTTGTGCCTCGAGACCCGATTGATGATGGCCTATAACGAGGCGCTTGATTTGGGTTTCGGTCGCAGGATACACTGCTGTGTCATAGAAGCCACCATTTTGCCGTTCTGGTCCCATAGTTTTGATTCGGCATAATTTCGTGCAGCTCCAGCGGTCCGAGTCATGCGCTCTCTCAGATGCCAGTGTGTTATGTCGACATCGTTCACAAATATTCTCAGGGCGAAGTCTAGCGTTGAGGCTGCACCGGCATCATGCATACCTTTGTGATTGTGAATCAGGGGCATGAAAGAGGGACCTGCATCCATCATGAATGCCAGAGCTGCTAAATGTTCGGCTGTCGTGGACAGAGCCTGCGATGCTCGAAACCAATCCCCGGATGTTTTGGACGTGATGGGAAGGTGGTCTTGGGTCGTTTGGATGTGCTTCGCAATTCCACCGAGCGTCTGACCCCAAATTCCTTCTGGACAAAATCGATTTTCGAAGAATGAAAGCAAGATGGAGGTGGTAGTGCGGTAACCACTGGCAGCTTCCTCAGTGATGTAGCCTTTTGCCACAAGCTCTTCGGCCATTTTCTCCACAGGCGGACACTGACTCACGTCGCTATATCGAGTCTCCGGAGGCGAGGAGTATTCCATCATTGCTGGTTCACTGACGTGGAAGTCGGTCTGCAGTGTCATGCAGAGACGCTGTTCCCCGCTCGGGAGGCTTTGCCAGATATCAATACGCCGAGTAGCAAATGTTCTCGTGTCCCGCAAACGCTGAACTCGACATATCAACCTTTGATCTGTCCTTGCTGGCCCAAGGAAGTGTCCGAGGACCGAGTAGAGATTGTAACCGGGCTTGACGGTGCGAAATGCAGCATGGACACCGACGGCTATTGTACAACCCCCGTAAGCAATTGGTAGTTGATTAGCTCCTCTTGCGGGCGGAAACCGTGAGTAAAACTCGTCTGGCCCAGTCTCTTCGACACCAATTTGCTCTGCGAGAGTGCTTGCCATCATTGAAGTCTGCTTGTCAAAGCTGGATAAAAACTAGAATCCCCAAGAAACAAGATACGTTGAAAGTCGAACCGCGAGGTTGCGAAAACGCAGCTTCTTTCAGCCGAGGTTCGGCAACGGTTAACCAACGTGAAACCCGTACAGGATATCGGCCACGTTTCGATTATAAGATACCCACCGAGTATATCCATCTAAATGAGCACCTGATCCTTGAGTAGGACTGATAGCAGGGTTGCCAACGGAACTACCAGCTGCATTTACATGAAATCCAACAAGGTGAAGGGCCACGATCATTATTATCGCTATAGCTTGGAACGGGCTGTGTTTCCCCCTGTCGCCCGATAACCTGTTGCAGAGCCTCCAGGCAGGTCAACATCCCAGACAATTCGACAATCCCAGTTGATCTTGTCCCGGTCACTAATTGGCAGCGTGCGCTCCGACGCCTTGACAACGCTCGATAGATGAAAGTCCCCTATATTTCCTTCACCTTCCAGAACCCATCGTCGCGCAATCTCCGTAGCAATCGCATTCATGTCCCTTTCTGCGTCAAGTGCAAGCAGGGTACCCGCCACTAGCCACGCGAGGGTGAACATGAAATGCCGCCCGTTGGCGAGAGCTGCAACCAAATCACCGCGCTTCTTGTCCAGGATCTTGAAATATTCACTCCATGCGCATTCCAGCCTTGTTCTAATTTCAGCATCTCCAACTTGCGAAATGGCGTGCTCTATCCATGCGCTGAAAACAGATAGATGCTGTCCGTTCTTGTTCAAGAGATGTCTTACCACCTCACTGCTTAACACGTTTGTGGTACCCTCCCACGTCATATTGGCTGCAGTGTCACGCATGAGGCGTGAGATATTGTATTCTGGCTCGTCTGGCTCATCCATATATCCAACTCCGCCCATAGCCTCCTGGCACTCCTGCAGCGCAAGCGTGGCGGTCTTGCAGATCACGGCCTTGGTCGTCGCGGTCAGAGTCCTCAGGATGACGTCGGTCTGTTCTCCTGGAGTTGGTAGAGGTACGTAGCCGTTTCGTTGAACATGTTTCGGAGGAAATCCATTATCCGCGAAACTTAGCAATGCAGTAGTAAAGAATGCGAGTTGGAGTGCGCCTCGGTGCTTCACTTCCATATTTGCTAGCATTCGGAGGTGCATTGGAAAGGTCCACAAAGGCTGATTGATCGTGGTGCGGACCTTTGCAAAGCTCTTAGCGATAGCCATGCCCCGACGCCAGCAAGACAAAGCAGTAATAAAGTTGTGGGTTCTGGTGACATTCAGAAGAAGTGCAATGGTAGCGATTCCGCGATCCAAAGGACCAATAAGATGCGCTCTCACGTTGTTGAGCTCCAATTCGGCGGTTGGGAGTTCTTTGGTGCCCATCTTTGCTTTGAGACGATGAATTCGGATCCCGTTTGTCATTTGCTGCGTTTTCCCGTCAATAACCACCGTCTTTCGTGTTGGTGCAACAAAGAGACTGAGGTGACCAGATTCTGTTTTTGCCAGGATAAGCGCCATGTTACAGTCGGTAGCCGATGAAAAGAATTTGAACCCGGACACAAGGTAGTCCCCTTCTTCAATATTCCCGTAGCGCCCTGTCTTGTTGGGCAGCGGAGAGAACACAGCAATCGTCTCAGAGTTCTGGACATCGCTACCACCTGGTCTCTCCGTCATCCACTGAGATGAGATCCAGTTCCCTTCCCGGGCGGTAAGAAGACGATAAATTTCATGGAACGGATGACCGGCTGGCACGGAGCCCAACTGCTTATATACGAGCCGTGCCGCTCCGCTAGTCATCGAAACCGGGCATGAATATACCGCGGAGGACGCAGAAAATGTATAGTTACTATGCCGTTAGTAGACGCTTTACCAGGTTCGATGTCTGACAAGACTCACAATGCATGTTGAACAAGCCTCCGGTATTGTTTGAACTCCTCTTCGTAGCCGAGTGCTATCACACTGCCACCATGTTAGACCTTGACGTTGAGATACTTTGGTGATCAATTACCCATTTTTAGATCCCCACTTTCCCAATTCTTTCCATCCATGACTGGTCACCAGCCTATCATATGGGTAACGGGCACCCCATACATTATGGGTCTTGACGTAGGGCTGCTGCGATTCCGCGTTTGATATCAACTCATTGATCTCTGGCGAGATAGCCTTCTCGGCAAATAGGGTGAGACGTTGTTTGACAGTTTCGAGGATGTCCGGTGGGAGGTACCATTCGAGGACTCGTTGATACGACTCATCTGATGTGAAAGGATTCTCCAGAGCGGGCGGATACAAGATAAACCCATTGTCCACAGTGGAAGGCTTGAGAGACATTCTTGCGATATTGACGGTGACAATCTAACGATTTCTTTGCAGTTTGAGATTGTCTGCCCATGTTAAATGCTCTCCTCGCTTCATTGCAGTATCCCGCCGTGCCGTACGGCGCCGACTACTGCCTAGTGGACACATGCGGGTCTCGGCGTCTGAAGGGAAATTCAAAACGCTCATATACAAAGTTGAGCCTTGAAGTAGGTAATTTTTTCCTGTGCGGCTGTTACTCGGCGTAAAGCGGCAAATGCAAAACACACGGTTGGGCCGCATCCGAGCCTTCGCAAAAGGTACTTCAGAGACTACATAATGTTCATGTCGCCTTTGAATTGAAATCTCACCAGTGTAAGTGATGACGTCCATATCCTTCGGTCTTCGTGCACATCGATAGCTGTCAAGATGGCTGCTTCCACGGCGAACGATATCTTACCTATACGAGATGGATTTCCAGATCGCGCAACGCAACTTTCACCAATATGGAAACCCATAACTCCTGCTGGTCAGATACCTATGAACATTTACAGAGAGCATGTCAACAAGAAGTTCAATCTCCAGTTGAATGACTCCCACGAACTGCAGAGATGGAGCGTGACGGACCCTCAAGCTTTCTGGATCGATCTCTGGCATTTTGTGGGCTTGATACCGGCATTGCCTCCAGGAATAAAATATGCTTACAATCCAGCCATATCCATTTCAGAAGTGCCGCCATTCTTCGAGGGTGCATCAATCAACTACGCGGAGAATGTGCTGATCCAGCCACTCATTGATGATCGAAGCCCTGCGCTGATTGGGTTGAGGGAAAGTCAACACTTCGCTGGCGAAGTCTGGACATGGTCCACGTTGCGGGAAAATGTGCGGAGAATAAGGAGCGCTCTGATCAGAAGCGGGATTCAAAAGGGTGATAGAGTAGCCGCTCTGATATCCACGTCAGTCTGGTCAGTTGCATTGCTCCTTGGTTCGGCGAGCATTGGGGCCATCTTTACTTCGATTGCTCCTGATCTTGGGCTTGAGGTAGGACCCCATGAAAAGAGGCTCGGGACCCGTTAACTTCTCCAGGGATGTATTTCTCGGCTGCAACAAGTACAGCCATCCATCCTGTTTGCCGATAGCCACGTCACTTACAAGGGCAAACAGCGTTCCAATGCAACCAAGATTTCTGCAATAATGAAGCTCCTCAAACCGAGCCCAGAGCTGTTTGTCATACCTGTGGGACTTGAGGAGGCTCTCCAGCCGCTCTCGGCCTTCCTGGGCAGGTCGAAAGACGCGGACGAACTGAAATTTGCCAGATTCGCGTTCACGACACCTCTTTACATTCTTTACTCCAGTGGGACGTCGGGTCCTCCAAAGTGCCTTGTGCACAGTCATGCGGCTATCATTCAGCACAAGAAAATCGGAATGCTCCACAATTCCCTGAAGCCAGGAGAAGTTGTCTTCCAATATTCAAGTACATCGTGGGTCCTCTGGAACATCATGGTCGGCCACCTTGCCATGGGAGCCACTCTGATCTTGTACGACGGATCGCCTACCTGGCCGAAGCCTCAGTGCATGCTTGAAATTGTTCAAAAATTCAAAGTGAACTACTGGGGTGCCTCACCAAAATATCTCAAAGAGCTGGAGTCAACAAGGTGTACACCCAAGACAGAATATGATCTTTCGAGTCTACGAATGGTGCAGACCGGAGGATCTCATCTTGCTTCGGACCAGTATCACTGGTTTTACAACGTCTTTCCCTCGAACGTGCATCTGACAAGCGTGACTGGAGGAACGGACCTGGTCACTTCCTGGTGCGGAACCGATCCTGCCGGCCCGGTTTTCCCAGGAGAAATCCAAATGCCCATCCTCGGACATGATGTCGATATAGCGGATCCCACTGATGGCCATTCGATCAAGGACACTGGGGAAGCTGGAGAATTTGTCTGCCGAAAACCATTTCCCTCCATGCCCATTTATATGTGGGGCGATACGCAAGGTGAAAAGTACCGAGCATCGTATTTCAGTCGATACTCGTTCCCCTGTTGGGCTCAGCATGATTGGGCGAGTGTGAACCCTATCACGAAAGGGTGGATAGTGCACGGGAGAAGGTATATCATACCAGCTCTACAAAGACCAAGATACTAACTCCGGCAGTGACGGCGTGCTTAACCCGCAAGGCATACGATTCGGCTCCGCAGAGATCTACTCCATCACTGAAGCGGCTCCTTTGTCGAACACAATCGCCATCAGCCTCTGCGTTGGTCGAAAGAGGCACGGTGTTGACTTCGACGAGTCCGTATTCCTTTTTGTCGTCATGCGTGCTGGGCACTCCTTTACCAATGAGTTAGAGCAACTACTGAAAGACACCATCCGCAAGTCCCTCAGCCCCAGGCATGTTCCACGTTTTGTGGTCGAAGTGAAGGAGATCCCGATGACATCAAATGGCAAGAAGGTCGAGACCCTTGTCAAAGAAGTCATCTCAACAGGGAAGATACCAGGAACGATAAGTTCTACAGTGATAAACCCAGCATGTCTTGAGGCGTTCCGGCAATTCTACCAACTCGAGCCGCAAGTACGGGCGAGGTTGTAGGCTCGATCTGACACCGGCTCGGTAACGTTCCGTCCTTCGACATGTTTCGACGTAATCACCTCCGAGGAGATCATTTCCGTCACGACATAGTGGCCGTAAAGATTTTTCAAGGCCGTCGGTGGTAATTTTCGTCAACCAGAGACTTTATGATGTACAATCCCAGAACCAATCCCTCTCTGCGGTATTCAAGGTCGAAGACCACGGACTTATAGTCGGGACTCTCGAAGTGTCTGATATCTACCAAGGCAGCTTAGATAGGTGCGCATAAGTCTTTACATATCTTTTTTGTCTCGGCATGTAATGCCGAAACCCCGCACTTAGGTACTAGGTACCTAGTGGTCTTGGGTGAGATAATGCCCGTTTTGGCGCTGACAAGCTACCTCTCTGAGACAGCTCCTCCTGCTCCAGATAAACTCAACCTAGATGTCGACATTGACCAGGACGAAGAAAGCATGTGATATATGCCATCGACGAAAGGTACACAAGGCCAGAATCAGTTTGACCGATAAGACTGATATATGAACCTTTCAGATCAAATGTGACTTCAGCTCATGCCATCAGCCCTGCACCAATTGCAGGCTGGGAGGTCTTATATGCAAACCACATCAGAGAAAGCGCCCGCGATACTTGTCAGCAGACCATACGAGTTCACAGAGCCGGGAAGCTCCTCGCGAGTGCCGTCTTAATGACGAAGCATCTGCGTTAACAGATTTGCAAAATTGTCAGCCCGTCGCTGTGTCGGATGACCAGACTCAGATTCCAATCCTTCACCCTGGAAGACAGTGGGAGACCGATGTCGAAGTTGCATCAGAGGCTCTGATAGAGAATTCCCAGAAGGAATCCATCGGATCTCCCGAATATGTAGCCACGACGGAAAGCCATGTGGGTAGGAGCGACTATATTGGGAACGACGACATCAGATTTCGCGAGGAAATGGTGCAGGTTCAGAGTGATACCTCACTATTATCCCAGACAGATTCTGAACTACTTCAACTACAAAAAGCTTTCGAGTTGCCGCAGAGGTCTGTACTTGCAAGTCTGATCGACAGCTATTTCAAGTATTGTTCTCCATGGACGCCTGTGCTCGAGTGTTCGGATGTGGCAGAACTCCAGGCCAATGGAACGTCTCCTCTCTTACTCAACGCCGTGCTTCTGGCCGGTAGCAGGGTAGCATCAAGCGATATTTTAGCGGCTTCTGCGGAGGAATTCTATCGGAAAGCCAGGTTGCTGTTCATTTTGGGTCATGAAACAGACGCGCTTACCTGCATCATCGCCGTTACGTTGCTTCAATGGTACAATCCCACAGGTCCAGAGCATATCTCAACTAGTACAAGTGGGTTTTGGGTGCGCATTGCGGCGGGATTGGCGTACCAACTCGGACTACACAGGGAGGCTACCACGCAAAAGGACAGGTGCCTCCGACGCAGGCTATGGTGGTCAATTGTGGTAAGTGTTTGTGCTGGCACGTCCTGGCGGCTTGTTGATTACTCGCAGTGCCGCGACGATATCATATCCATAGGAACAGGGCGACCAAGGACAATTAACCTTGACGACAGCGATGTGCCTTCTCTAAGCACCAGTGATTTCCAAAATCCTGGCAGCAGAGCACGCTTATTCATGGCATTTTCTGGCATTGTTCGTCTTCTGGCAGATTTGACAGAAAACATTCGGCGGAAGAGTATGACGGTAAAGACACAGACCTCCTTGGAGAATGCCCTTTACCGCTGGGTCAAAAGCCTGCCGATAGAATTTCAACCCTTTCATGGGTCGCCGAAGATGTTGGCATCCTACAACTTTGAAGGGAGACAGCTCTTGGTCCCTTATTTTGTGTCCCTATTTATTCTGTCTCGACATTCGGCTTCGCGAAAGCGGTCCATACGTATATCGTTCATCGCATCCTCTTTCGTGGCTGGGATTTTCGAAGATCTCCTCAACAGAGGCGAGCTATGCCATTGCGGGCCAGTATTTACATTTTACGCTTTTGCAGCTGGTCTTGCTCAGGTGCTGGCCTTGCGATACAGGTGCCTCGCGGAGAGTGCAGAAGAATCATTGTCCATCATTCTATCATCTTTGACAGAAATGAAGAAGAGATGGGGCTCCGCACAGGGTGCCCTAGCCGCTTTAGCCGAGATGAAGAGGCTCGCATACCAGAGTCCAAGCCTCGCTGATGTGCCTGATAATGATGTTGGAAGGCTTGCGCCATTTGTTGAGGATTTTGGTCCAGAACTATGCAAACAGTACCATCTCTTGGAACAGGATAGCTCTGCTGCGGAGACTCTTCTCCCACCACCATCATTACACCCAAGCTCAGTCTCAACCAACATCGTCCATGGCTACCAACCATCTGATACGCAAGACGGCCGGGTTGGGCATAACAACGGTCTACTTGCAGGTCAGAGCAACCTGTTCTTCAGCGACTTGGATCCTTTTGGGAGCTGGGTTGACGACTTGGAACTAGGCCTGATGACGTATTAGGCGTCAACTGTCCAGACGTCAATATTGTCACTCAGCAGTATAGGAATGCCAGTCAAGAAGCGCGGGAATCGATGTACAGGCTCCTCCCATAGCTTCTAACCCGAATGAAATGAACGGCGACAACTGCATTACGGGAGGAACGTGACATGTGCCGTCATGAAGGATTTATTGCATACTCAGGAGGTACCAACCGCCTGAGTAAGATCGGCCAAAATGGTCAGCTCAGATGTCGACCAAGAAAAGACTCAATCCGCAAGCATCAATCAAGGTACTACAACATTCTGAAGCCTGCTTTCTTTCAAGCAGGACTTCCCTTCCACTTCGAAGCCGTATTCGAGGGCTGGCAGCTCTACCATCGACGCATTTATGGTTTTCCACTTTTAATCCAATCTTGGACCGTGGTATGACTTCCCAGCATAGAAAAGCCAGTTCAGTGCAGCAAACAACGCCATGACCCCAATCACCGCAGATGTATAGTCTATGGCGAATTAGTCACAAGGATTAATTCGTAGGCTGAAAGCTTGGGGTAGACTTACTCATGTTTGAACCGCTCACGGGGACGACAACTGGAAAGTCGTAGAAAATCAAGACCACGATGGCGAAGGCGACAGTACAGAAGTTTGCTACCCAGGCAAGAGGGCTGAATAGCTTGAATGGCCTGTTAACAGGCAGGTACATGGAAGACCGCCTTCGATACATCAACAGTGCGGCCGGAACGGCATACGTTGCTTGTTGCAGGATGAGGCCCGTGCCGATAAAGGCATTGAAAGCAGTCGAAGATCCAAGGAAAATGAAGCCGATCATAAGCACAATGGCATTGTTAGCCAGGAGCGCCCACACTGGAACCTGGAGAGAAGGATGGACATGACCGATGAATCTGTGCCATACCAAAGCTTTATCTCGTGCGAGGGACCAGGTCAGGCGTGAAGCAGTCTGTTGAACAGCGATGAGGGCCACTGTAGCTGCTGTGAGGAGAATGCTCATGAAGATTGTGGCTGCAGCACTAGATCGGGTCGCTTGGAGCCAGATCTCGTAGATAGGAAATCTATCTTGCGTCAGCAATCTTTCTCTGCCATATAGTCCCAATCATTGACACAAACCCTGTAGGTGTGCTAAGTACGGCACTGAAATCTGTAATGCAATATGTCATTGAGACCGCGAACATGAAGCTTGTGATAAAACCAATTGTCAAAGTGCTGACGAGAGCCCTGGGCACAACTTTCTCGGCCTGCTTGCATTCTTCGGCAAGATGTATCGCGCCGTCAATCCCTGCATACATGTAGTTAGGTGACACCAGGCCCGTCAAGAAGCTTACACCTGCGGGCCAGCCGCTTTCGTTCACTAAGGTCGTCCAAACGAACTCGCTGCTCTGTTTGGAGGGTGCTCGTGCGAGGCAAGTAACAATTATCGTGACGAACCCCGTTAATGTGATAACAACTATCGCGAAAGTCAGCTGAATGCAAGTACACGGTCGAGACCAAGCTTACATGACACGTCATTGACCCACATGGTCTTTTTCAATGAGAATATGTTGTGCATGCAAGCCAGAAAGTTTACAGCCTGATAAAGAAGAAAATAATGCCACGTTTGAGCGACGTAGCCAGGTTGATAATGGATGACGATAGCCAAGATCACTTGTGGGATAATTATGGCGATTCCAGCCGTGGTGGCAATCCAGGCATAAGCATTGGTGATACCACATGCGTAGCTCTGTCCCTCCAGTCAGCAGTGGCATTCCTGAGTCGCCGAAGCAGTTAACAGTATACCAGGAAACGGCTCGCTTTCGAGGGCGCTAATATAGATGTCCAATGATACCTAAAACAAGTTATAGTCTTCTTCTTATTAAACAAGATAGAGACGAAACTTACTGTCCTCCAGCGGTCGGGAAGACCGAAGCAAGCTCTCCCATAGTCAAGCCGCTGCACCCAACCATGATGAAACAGACGACGACGCCATAAATGAGCGTCACTGAACCACCTTGAGCGATTGTCAGAGCCAGTGTCGCTGCCACTCCAGCCCAGCTATTGCAGATGTTCCATCCGACACAGATGGTATCGAGGGGTCCAATGTCGCGCTGGCTCTCTTGACAAAGACCGAAGGTAGAGAGCTCGACGGTCCGGAATGTTCCTTGATGCTGAGTCTCGACTGCCATTGTACGAGCAATGCGTCAGTCCGGTCGCTCATTTCTCTGCCAATTGGCGTAGATAGAGCCACAGAAAGAGTACTAGAAAGAGTAAATTGTGTGCATACCTTGTTCGAGCTGATTCAGAGGTTGTGTTCTGTAAGCATGAGTATCAACGGTTCCTTTCTCGAAGGAGCCCATCTTGATATCAGTTGATCAGAAAGGCAGACTGCGCTGGGTGGACAAAGTAACGGACCAGGTCTGCGCAAGAGTTCTGAATTCCAGACGCTTAAATAGACCTATGGATGAGACCTTGGAATGCAATAACGAAGAGAAGCGGAATATGCTCGTGACCCACATACCCCGGTACCCCAGATTATCGCCCTCCAAAAGAGGAATGTCAGATGAGTGGCCTAACCGTGTTAGACAAGTGTCCCCGTACGTGTAGCGAATCAAACTTTATTTCTCAGAAAAGGAAGCTCGGACGAAAGTCCGCGCTGTTTGCCACCCAGCTCAAACCAATGAGTGTTTTAGGGCCGATGATATGTTTATCAAAGGTCGGCATCTGGATTTATTCATCACTGAAAGGATTGATAGAGTCATTCCCAATTGGCCGAAAGAATGGAGCAGACCTGCGGTAGAGTTTCTTGCCTAACTTCGAAACCTATTTAATTTCACGGCTCTGCCTCCCATCCATGGATCAAAGAGGCTTTCCTCAACTTCTGGCAACATCATCCTCCAGACTCTATTGATATCACAAGTAGGAAAGAATCATGCACAGATCACGAGAAGGCTGGCATTGGACTCCAACCAGCGGGCTCCAAGCTGGTATACCATCCGTCGCAGTGGTAGAGCCGTCCCGGATGATCCAACATTCCGAAGTCGTGCTCGATGTGATTGTCATCGGAGCAGGGTATGCAGGACTTACGGCCGCCAGAGATACGTCCACTGCCGGTCAGTTCTTCTGATTTAGCATGTTGCATTGGCCTGTTCTTTGGCTGACCAGGATACAGGGTTGCAGACTCTGTTATTAGAAGGACGAGACAGACTTGGTGGCCGAACTTGGTCATCCGAGATTGAGGGGTACCCTTATGAAATGGGAGGCACATGGGTCCACTGGTTTCAGCCACATGTATATCGCGAACTATCAAGATATGGCATGAAGGACCAAATGGTGCAATCTACCGACTACAGCAAGAAACACAATTTCTTCACCTTCAAGACAGCAGCAGGAGTCAGGAACATGAGTCACAAGGAGGAGGTGAGCTGGCGGAGATGCGATTCGTTCTTTTCAGCTGACCATCTCCAGGACTCACTTTTCGCTCGGGCCGTCGAGAAATTCGTCAATGTCGACGGTAACCTCGGGAGGACTGTGATGCCTTTCCCTTTCAACGCACACTCGAATGGAGAAGTGTTCAAATATGCGAACCTATCGGTAGCAGACAGAATTTCCCAAATCAGCCACGACCTTTCCAGCGACGAGAGGCACGCTGTCGAGGCCTTTGTACTCCTTTGCAGTGGCGGGACGACGGAAAACTCGGCATTTCTTGATTTCCTCCGCTGGTGGGCGGCTGCCAACTACGATTACAAAACGCTTCTGGACACCATCATCGTCTACAAGCTCAAATGCGGCCAATCTGGCTTTGCCAAGCGCTTCTTCGACGAGTCAGTGGCAAGCGGCAATCTATCCTATTCTTTCAACACCGCTGTTGCTAGGATTGACTCATCAAAGCGCCCGGTAGAAGTCTGGACAAAGGATGGCCGACATTTCTCAGCTACTAGGGTTATCTGCACTGCGCCACTGAATGTACTCGGGAACATCGGGTTCAATCCTCCTTTGGATCAAGCGAAGCGCGAGGCTATCGCACTGAAGCATGTGAATCAGTGTGTCAAGGTCCACGCGGACATTAAAGACCCAGAACTGAGATCTTGGAGCGGTGTTACCTACCCTCATAACAAACTCGTCATTGCAGTGGCGGACGGCACAACCGCCGCAGGAAAAACCCATTGCGTCTTTTTCGGAGGCGATGTGAACCATATGCATGCCGATGAAGACATCAATCAGACCCTTCAGGCTATCAGAGAGTTTGGGCCTATGGAAATTGACCGCGTCGTGAGTGCAAATCCCTCTATGGTGTGAGACCGACAGAGCTGACAAGTCGTACGTCAGGTGTTCCATAACTGGTCCAAGGATGAATTCGCCAAAGGAGCATGGTAAGTAGACTGCTATTCAACTAAGACCATCAGGCCTAACCGTGTTCAGGGTGTGGTATAGACCGGGAATGGAGATGCAGTATCTGGAGTCTCTAAGAAAGCGACAAGGACCCGTACTGTTTGCTAATTCGGACTGGGCGGCTGGAGGGTGGAGGAGTTTCATTGATGGTGCCATTCAATCTGGGACGGAAGCGGCCTTAACGGTCCGACAGGAGGTTCCGGTGTCGAGAGCAAGCCGGCTGTGACGGACCTCCAATAAATTGCTTAAAGCCTTCACCATAAGAGTATGAGACATTTGCGCACTTGAATAAAAACACGATATTGGACTCTGTCGTCTGGCGATTCAAGACACTTTGAGGACCTCTGACTAATGTTGAGGCCGGGCGGGTGGCTGCCCACGCTGCCTTAACGGACCATGTTATTGAGGCGTAGCCAAGAGCAGCCCAGAAATCCCAGCCAAGAAATTGGCCGGTCGGCACGAGGCTCACTTGAAGTCCCCCCGCCGTCCTCGTGTTCACCGAATCAGTCTGGTCTCCTATCGATCGCAGCATCAGAACCCTGCCTCAACATGCCTCTCAGACAAGGTACTATAATCTCGCTTGATACAGACTGATAAAATGCGGAAGGAGCTGACTGGTGAGTTTGCCACGTTGTCCAAATCAACATTCGCGCTGAGATGGGCAAGGATGCCACAATTGCTCGCAGCGACGCATCAAGTGCGATCAATCCCGTCCAAAGTGTAATAAATGCCTGCGCAAGGGCCTTGACTGTCCCGGTTATGGAATCCGATATAGGTTCAATGATGGTATAGCTTCCCGTGGTCGATTTACGGGCCGCGCAGTCCCGATCGACCAGGTTGAAAGTGTTTCAGAGCGACCAGAGCAAAAAACAACGCCCTTTCTATTATGGCCAGATGGCTCGACAACTTCAACTCTACACCGATTCAGTCCAGCCTCAACATCTCGCGACTTTGAGGACAACGAGCTGACTTCAGACGGAGACCATAGCTTGCCAACGTTCCCTGTTGACACTTCAGGCGGAGAGGAGGCACCGAGGGCACTTCCGGTCGCGGGGACATTTACCCGGTACTCGGCAGAATCGACATTTGAACCCACAGCCTGCCTCCTGTCCGACTCCATACATCGTGATGGAGTCTGCCATAATGAGGTTCCAAAAGCCCTCCAGCCGATGGGGGCGCAATATCGAGAATTATTTGCTCACTTTTCTTCAACAATTGCCCCAGTGATGGTGGTCTTGGACGGCAAGTTTAACGGTTACCGTGATCTCATACTTCCAATCGCCTTTGAAGATCAACTTGTCAGATCTGCTGTATGTGTTGTCGCCATGCACCACCTCGCTCATCAACGGCCGGGTTTGCAGTCTCGTGCTGAAGCCGGATTTCAAGCCATTATATCAGAGCTTCGCTTGCGCACATCTACTCAGCTCGATCTCGTCGACATCTTCGCTTGGACCACGATAATCATTCTGTTGACAGGCGAAACAATCACGGGTGGTACCAACCTCCCCTACCTGTTCAAGATACTTCAGCACCTCGCGGCCGCGAATGCGAGAGACGGCCGAGAGAGCGTGATGCACTCATTCCTGATGGAACAGACTCGTATGATGACTCTCTTTGCCCAACCTCTCCTAGGAGAAAGCGCCGGCACTTTGACTCTGAGCGCACGACCTGCTGCGTACTTTGATTTCATTTCCAACGCAGCCATTTTCCACCCTACGCTTGCGCCTCAGATCGGGGTTTACAAGGCCGCCATACATATGGCCTGCAATATATACTTGAAACGGGTCACAAGCGGCCCGCCTCATTATGAGACTGTCGTGGATCTCGAACGCCTCAAGAGCCTATGTGAGCAAATCCATCCTGCTACACCAGGGCATCATACGCTCGTTTGGGTATACTTCATTGCTGCTGCGGAAAGCTCGACACTAGAACATCGCGAGTTCTTTACAATGCGACTTCAAGAAGTATTTTCGCGCACCAGATTTCATAATATCCCGACTGCGCTGGCAGCCTTGCAGGAGTTTTGGAAAGTCCAATCAGAGAGAAGGTGGACCGAGATTCTACCAGAGATTATGCCGGTCTTCATCATTTGATATGGTCTTCTGTTGTGCTCAGCTTGATCTCCGGGTAGATTGCCCTGAGCCACTAACGGATTTATTCTTTCACATCAGTTATATGTACCGATGTCCGTCTTACAGTCGACGGTGCACGTATAGGACTCTTGAATTCTCCCTCTATTGTAAAGGGCAGCAGGGAAACAGCTGGCCCATGGTTGAAGAGGCACAGAGAGATTCGCCAACAACAATCTGCCTCGGGAATCTAGGTTCTGCTGTTCATTGTCTGGGAGCCAATGAGCGGGACAACAATCTCCCAGTAGAGTTTTGGACAAAAAGGTCAGAGCTGATTACCCCTCAAGCCTCTCCCTGCACGTGCCGTGATAACAACAGATCTCGATTGGTGGGATGCCAGAGGTCAGTTCGAAGTAGATAGGCCAGCCAAGCAGTGAAATCATCCCACGCCCCGAGTGCCCTCGAAATGCTTGAGCTCAGCTCCTCCCCCAGCCTCGCCTCCGTCACTCACGCTGCTGACATTCCACATTCAATACCTCTCCCACACGTTACTGTCCTGGTTTGACCCTATACACCGCAATGGAACCCTCACCAATGGATCCGGAGGTAGCGACTGATAGATCGCGTATTGCTATCCTCGGTGCAGGAAGTGTGGGTTCGGCAATAGCACTTTGCCTCATCTTGAATCCTGTTGCAAGCGAGGTTCTTCTGGTCGACCCGAACACTAAGCAGCGAGACGCGCAAGTTAAAGACCTCGAGGATACCACCACTTACCATGGTGCCGTTGGGTTCGTTCCTCCAAGCGTAACGCAGCAGTCGACTAATTTACGTTCAGAGGCGGCGGAGTCAGGATTCGAGGCGCAACTCACAAGGAGGCTGGACAATGCGACATCGTCGTCATCAGTGCTGGTGCAAAACAGAGACAAGGTAAAGTTCTCGAGTTTCCCTTTACCGTGCAAAGATTTGCTGAATATATTCGTCGCAGGCGAATCAAGGACCGATCTACTGGGTCGTAACTTGGCGATCCTGAAGTCTGCTACAGATGATATGAAACCGTTCCGCGAGGACACCGTCATTCTACTTGTAGCCAATCCTGTGGATGTATTGACCTACTTTTGCCAGAAGTATTCTGGGTTACCTCAAGGCCAGATTATCGGAAGTGGGACCTTCCTCGACAGTGCGAGACTGAGAGGCATCCTGGCCGCAAAGCTTGGTGTGGACGCTGGCAGTGTGGATGCTTACGTGCTTGGTGAGCATGGCGAATCTCAGATGGTAAGATATTAGTGGGCCAGAGGCAGCTCGATCGTTGCGCTGATCACGAGCCATAGGTTGCTTGGTCTTGCGTCACCATCGGTGCCGTACCATTGGATCAATGTCTATTGCCGGGAACGTCCATTGACCGCAAAGCTGTTGCGCTGGAAACAAAAGACAAAGCGGCAAATATCATCGAAGCCAAAGGAGCTACAGCCTACGGTATTGGCGCCCTGAGTGCTGCGATCTGCAAGTCGATTTTGTTTGACCAACGAAATGTTCGTCCGATTTCTCACTGGGTTGACGACCTCGGATGTTGCTTGAGTTTACCAGTAGTACTTGGACGACGGGGAATAGTAAGATCACTTAACATACCACTGAACCAAGAGGAGAGAGCTCTTTTACTCAAGAGTGCCGACACCTTGAGAAAGCTTATTCAAGAAGCAGAACAGACTCAGAAGTAGTCGAGGTTTGGGGAAAGCGTCCAGATCGCTTGGCAGGTTCTTTATATTGTTGACAAGGATTTACCGAAACCTTCCCCAATCGACGCTTATTTCCTTTGTCTTTGTGGTTCTCGACGCTTGATGTCCCGCCAGTACCGACGAGGTCTGGTCTTTTCGAAAATCACTGTGAGAAAGATCTATGACACGACAGTTCGGTGGAGATGTTGATGGAAAGTTGAGAAGGTAAGGCCGATGACTCGAGGGTATTGCCTGTGAAAGAGCGGAGATACGGGCCAGCAATAAAATCACGAAACTCGGCGAAGCCCTGTTGTCATGTCTGTTCGCACCTTCAAATGAAATTCTTGCCGATGGAAGCCATAGTGACATTACAGCCAGTGTCGATGTTGCACCTGAACGTAATCTTCAGGTTTCAGGTGTTCTTCTTTCCCCCTAGCTTTCTCGAATAGGCCACTCATGGGTATTCAAACCAGCTCCATGCGATGCGCGCATCGAAGACCGCTCACTTTGTCTGCTGTATTCAATCCATGCAGCGTCTCAACCATCATGTTGCTGTCTCCTCCTTCCCAGCTCTTCCTATACACCTCTTACTACGACCGTAACATTGTGCTTCGTGCGCGTCAGGACTAGGCTGGCGGGAGAGAGGGACCGAGTTCAGGCCCGATGCCATGTATGATCAAAAACATGTTTTCAGTCGCCTATCCTCACATGCACCAACTCGGAATTGGAACCAAATCTTCAAAATATGAGATCATGCTAGCTTCACCGTGCTTCTTAACAGGGTTACTGACAGCCTGAACCAACGTGAAGGTCTGATCTCTCTCGCAGCAGGCATAGGTCGGGAAATGGCATTTCCTGACCCACCCACGTATTTGAGTGGGATTTTAGCTCAGCATTCCCACCCTGACTGACAATCTGGTGGGTAGCCAGATCAAGAAGTAGTGCTGATCGTTTTCGAAACCTGTCTATGAGAACATGTGAGGCTTGCCTGAAGGTTTTGCAACGCAGCTTACTTCTCCTCTCGTCTTTGTCTCTCTAAACGACAAGTTCAAGAAACCGTCTCCGAGCCGGCCGGAAGTATCCAGTGCAGTGTACTAGATACTTCGCGGGCAGCGTATGAGGACTCGGGCAACGGAGCATCTAGGCCGGTACAAGAATGGTTGTTGCTGCGAGTGCGGAGGAATCGCTCCAGTGAGTCTCTGCCAAATCTTGGAGGAAGCACTATAGATGACGGTGCTCGATATCATCCAGTGTTATGTGAACGCCTCCGTCGAGATGCCGGAATGCAAGTAATGAAGGCTCTCTTCGGCCGTTTACAAGTCTCTGGTTTTGCTGCAACCTACAACATGCGTTGTGAATTGCGTATATGCAGCGATTGACGGATAGTGACAGTCGTCATCCTTAGATACTGACCTTGGAGACGTTCTAGGAGCTCGTCGCCGTTCGCTCAATACCTAGGTGCCTACTTCTTATTGTGACGACGATGTTGCAGAGCGACATCAACTGCTCTCTTCCGAAGAACTTTCGGGTTGCTCAGATGGACCGCCCTTGTCATTGCTCGATTGCTTCGAAGTAGATTATCAGGACCTACGCCACACGGTAGGGACTGACTGGCTAAACTATATACTATTGCAACTATCTATAGTTCCTATAGATAACGACTCAACGCTTGAGAAGTAAGAGGAAATTATTCCTACCCGATTCGGGAGGGGGTTATCTCTTATAGCTTCTCCGCCCTTACTATCACGTAGACTAGGCACTAGGTATCCCTTTACCCGATAGTCTTATACCCTTAGCCTTATCTCCTAATAGCCTTATGTACAACACCTATTTCTCCTACTATATATACCCTACCCGATTTAGGTATAGTATATATAGGTATTGAGGGTAGTAATTCGTGATAGTTACCCCCCCCCTAAAGACGGCTCGTCCTCGAGGCGCCTGAGGATAAAGACTATCTAGTTCTCAATGTCTATAGGTAGGGTATCTTCCTTATATACTTTAATCGCTATAAATACTTCAATATACGATTTACTAAGTAAATAGCTATTTACTTTCACGACAATAGGAAGAGTAAAGAAACCTCTAACTCCCGATTTAGGTAAGGTAGGATTTAACTTAACTTAGGTTTATCTTCTTTAATATCTCTTATAAACGATCTCTTTCTCCTTCTTTCCTCTCTCTCTTTAGGTAATATAATATATTAGTTTATCCCTCCTGAATTGAGTGAGAAAGTCTGTTAATTTATAACAATACGATATCCTAATGGATACCCTTCCGCCGAGGTCCCGGTACCTATAGGCCTTTAGTGCTAGCTCTACTAGACCGAGTTATAAGTGCTATAAGCTATAGTATAATTAAGAAGATAGGATTAACTATAATAGTGGTTTCCGTAGCTTCGCCGTCCCCCCGCGCGCCGACTAATCTAGTCTTCCTTACGACTAGACTTAGTCTAGGTCGTATTCTTTCTATTCGCGCGCCCGGTCTAGTACCGGTTATGTTACTGTAAGTCGCTTAAGAGCCTATCTTTACGATAATACTAATGAATTAGGTCCCGTATAATCTATAGGTAGGTTGTCGGGCCCTTTAGGACCTCATTAAGAGGTTAATCGGTGCTACTGGTAGTCGGCCTAGTGCCGTTCCATCTTCTCAGATATTTATTTATCTACTCGATTTAGGTAGGTATACTAATATTATATTAGGGAATAGCTTAAGTCCTAAGTAAGGGGGCTTAAGTAGAAGTTTCGAGAGACTAACCGGTATTATCGATATAGTAATATTACTAGTAAAGACGATATTAGTGTTATTTAGTCTCTACCTATCCCTCCTATAGAGGTTTTTCCTTTCTATATACTACCCGATAAAGGTGGGAAAGGAAAAGAGACTAATTTAGCTAGTGGCTCCCCTCGACGACGACGACGACGACGACTATTTTAGTAGTTCTAGTTTTGGTATATCCTTAACTATATCCTACCTAATTTAGGAGGAAAGAAGCTAATAGGGTAGTAGACCTACCGCTCTCGCCCTCCTCCTCCTCTTCTTCTTCTCTATTGTCTCTCGGTAGGACGCCGACGCCGCCGCCATCATTTACGCCTACGCCTACGCCTATCCCCTCTGCCTCCCCTACGGCTATACGGGCTCGCTTGCGAGTCCCGAACGTGTGGCGCGCTATTCTTGCTGGTCTACGTATATAGACCGAATATATAACCTAAACCCGTCTCTAGGGCTACGGCCGCTAGGATAACGACGTCTCTAGTAGACGTCGTTCGTCTCGGTTGTGGTACAAAGCTAAGTAGACAACTAAAGGATATATATAGAATAGGGCGTTCGCGTCCTAGGGTGGAGGTCGGGCCCCCCGAAAGACCTATATAGATATTGCCTTTACGCGGCGTAGGTTGTGAGTAGTCCTTTAGGGTGAAACTGAATATATCCCCTCCTAATTTAGGAGATAGATTACTTAATAGACTTCTTTTTCTCTACGCGCTGTTACGTATCGAATTCCCTAACTAACCTTTATATCCCTTACCCGATCAAATACTTCTTAGGTTTCTAGGTATTATACTTAGGGCCCTAGCCTTACTATTTAATTAACTAACGCCGCCTCGCTCCCTTACCCTAGGTATCTAGGATCTACTTAACCTAATACTCCTGTTCCGTATCTACACTAACCGGCATAGGGAGATTAGTTCCTAAGCGTTACTAGTATATCTTTAGTAGTGAAACGTGAAACGTTAGGTAAACGCGTCTATAGTTATACGGGAGAGTAAGTCTATAAGTATTTTTGCTAATCCGTATCTTAATGCGAAAAGGGCCTATAAACTTATCTAAGAGCTTTTTTATAGCCTTCCGTAATCGGAGATTCCTCGTTAAGAGTATAACTAAATCGCCTATCGTAAATTCTATAGCTTTACAGTGTCGATCGAAGTATTCCTTAACCTTTTCTTAAGTCCTTTGCTATGACTCTTATAGGCGTTTACGGACTACTAGTATACTTTCTACATTCGCTCTAGCCTAGTTATAAATTGATAGGGGTTCTTCCCCTCCCGATTCGAGAGAAGTAACGTCCTTAAGATTTCTATGTATATTAGGTTTATAACTATATACTACTTGAAACGGAATTGTATCAATCGTGCTATTTCGACTGTTGTTGATAGCCTATTCTACGCTACTAAGTAACTCTGCCTAGTTGTCTTGTTTATTATTTAGATAGTACCTTAAGTAGTATTCTAGTACTTGATTTAGGCGCTCTATTTACCTATCTATCTAGAGATGAAAAGTTATAGATAGCCTCCGTTTGATGATAAGATAATAGTATATTATTTCCCAATACTTGGACGTGAATAACGAGTCCCTATCGCTTACGATCGACTTAGGTAGCCTAAATCTTGAGAATACCTCGTTAATTAGGATCTAGCGTAGCTCCGGGGCTATGATATTCTATATATATAGGATAAGATATACTATCTTCGAATACCTATCTACTATCACTAGTATAGCGTCATAAACGCTATTCCTATACTTAGACGGTGGTAGGTCTATGATAAAATCTATAGCTATTCCTTACTAGGGGCTTTTAGGAGGTTATAAAGGAACTAATTACCTATATAGTTTATACCTTAGGACCTTTATTCTTTGATAGATATTATAGGAATCTATATATTTATAGATATCCTTACGGATATTGGGCTATTAGTAGTAACGTTTAATAATCTTAAGCGTTCTAGCGCGACTAAAATATCCTCCGTCCTATAGATTATTATAGTTAACCCTTAGGATCTTAGCTTGAATAGTAGGATTACTTAGAATATAAACGAGCCTATTATAACGGGCTATTTCTACTTAATTAATAGCCTAATAGTTATTTATAAGGCCTATCCCTAACACTATTCTATTAGGAAAGGATATCTAGGATTAAGCTACAATAAAAGGGTTATAATCTTATATCTCTCGGATCTAACGTTCGAGAGTATCCTTTCTACCCGATTCGGGTAGGGGAAATATCG